TATACGAAAATACCTAATTCATAGTTTAAAAAGATGTAGGGCTAATTACACGATACTCCGTTCTTCTTGTGCTATTGCAGCTGTAATTACATCTACAATATAATATTTGAATAGATTAATTTATTATTCGTAAATTCCTTTGACTTATAGTTTCTGATTTTGGCATTTAAACAAAGAGTGGAAAGTCAAAGAGTATATATAGGACCGCAAGGCTCCGAGTTCCGAAATTATTATTATTATTATTATTATTATTATTATTAAGAATTATGTATTCATACTGCTGTCTAAAGTACAAGTTGTGTTTTTTTTAAAAAATTATAATTAAAAACAATATATACTTCATCATGTCCCAATATAATAGTTTTATTTATTAATTTTATCCATTCCAAAACAATAGTTTAATTTCTATAAATAATCATATCACTATAAAACTATTCATATTTTTTCATTATTATTAAACAATTGTCACTACTTTTTACACTAATACACTCACAAGGGCAAAAAGTCATTTACCGGTACTTTTTATCCACTATCAATATAATATCAATATTCCTTAAATTTCGTGTCAAACACAACCAAACTATAGTTCTGAGACGGATGGAGTATTTTATTTTGTTAAGTTTAATAAATATTGTATTTTAATGATAATTGAGAAAAAATCAATTTTGATCCCAATATAAAAAAACTAATCAATTTTGGTTCAAATATAACCAAAATTTATCAATTTTGGTCCAAATATAAAAAACTCATCAATTTTAGTCCCAATATAAACAATTTCAATCAATTTTGGTCTCATTATAAACAATTTTAATCAATTTTGGTCCAACCGTTAAAAAACTAACGGAAATTGCTGACGTGGACATGACGGAGGTGAGGTGGCAGTTGATCTGAAAATATACACTGAAATATACATGGTCATGTAACAACATGGCCGTGTAAAATTGTACATGGCCGTGTAACAACATGACCATTTATAATTATATACTGAAATATACATAACCATGTGACAATATAGCCGTGTATAACTGTACATGGCCGTGTAACAACATGGCCATGTATAATTATACACTGAAATATACATGACCATGTAACAAATAGTCGTGGATAATTGTACATGGCCGTGTACTTTCCAGGTCAATTGCCACGTCACATCTGTTATGTCCACGTTAGTAATTTCCGTTAGTTTTTTAACGGTGAGACCAAAATTGATTAAAATTATTTATAATGGGACCAAAATTGATTGAAATTGTTTATATTGGGATTAAAATTAATGAGTTTTTTATATTGGGACAAAAATTGATAAATTTTTGTTATATTAGGACCAAAATTGATGAATTTTTTATATTGGGACCAAAATTGATTTTTTTCCATGATAATTTTAGTATGTTAAAACTATTTTACTTTTAAAATTACTGTAAAGATATTTGTAATATACAGTAGACTTAATGACTAAATTTAATTTATATTTTCAGAATGTGATTCGAGAATTTTTTATGAAATAATTACTATTAACTAATGGTAATAAAAATTTCAAAAGTATTCGTACAAACAAAATATTAATATATGTTTTTATTATTTTTAAATTTAAAATTAAATGACACCCACAAAATAAATTCAAGCAAATATATACCAACTGCATTTAATAATGAAATAAATATCGTGCAGTGACGACATATATGGGTCGTACAAATAGATTTAATGCGCAGACATTTCTCCCTATATCACATTGATCGTTGTAACAAAAAAATCGGACCTGTTTTTGTAAAGTCAAAATTGACTCTGCCGCTATTCTAATTACTGAAAGTCAACATGTGACACGTCGGATCATGTTTACATTTTTGTAATTTTGTATTTGTCCAACAAAATGATACAATAGTGTATTATTCCCTCCGTCCCACGTACCATGTACACGTTGCCGTTCTGTCCATCCCACATACCATATCACTTTTCTTTTTTTAAAAATGATTACACACTTTAATCTCATTTTAAATTTTTATTTTTTTAAATTTTAATTAAACTAATTAGTTATGTTAATCTTAATTTATAATTATTTATATTATAGGATAATTATTTTTACTAATATATTCTTAATTATCTATTAATTACATCCTTTCTAAAATATCATGTCTACAGTGCAGCAGACACGATATCTGGACGGAGGAAGTAAGATTTCTGAAATTTTTGCTGAATGCATTAATTCTTAATCATTTTAATTAAATTGATAATATAATTTAATAATATAAATTATAATTATTATTTTGAAGGTATTCATTTCAGCCCTTGATCCAAAGCCTTAAAATATAACCCGATTAATTAATTAATTTTCCCAAATTGAATGAATCAAATTCAAGTATTTTGTATACTACTCTCAATTGTTTTTCTAAAATTGAATTATCAACTCAATTATCAAGAAATTTATTGATAAACATTTGAATTGAATTTCGGTCTTTTGAAATCACAGCCGTTAGATCAGCGTAGATGGTTGAATATCAACGGCTGCAAATTACCAGAGATCGTCGTTGAAGTTTGCGGTGCGTTTGTTCAAATTCAAAAAGGAATTTTTCAATTTTAAAATAATGGTTATCTCATCTATGGGTTGTATAATTTATTTATTTGATTATACAGTTTATAGTATTTTCTTTTTATAAACATATATTCTATATTTTTTACAATGTTATATTTAATACAAAAATTTAAAAATTCTACTATTAAAATACAAAATTAAATACCGATCAAACACACCAAATATGTAAGGTGTCTATATGTTTTTTGAATACTTAGACTTTAGAGCATCATGCTTTAAATAAAAAATACGTACAACCTTTAAAATAATACTCTGAATAAAATAAAATAAAATTTCAATGTAATATTTTGAAAAAAAAAATATAAAATCTATAATAACTTTAAAAAATTAAATATATACAAAAATACCATGCTAAGACATCGAAACCCTTAGAAATTCGATTAAAATTTACCTATAACGCATTCGAAAAATAGTATTAATTTATTAAATTTTACATTAGTGGAAAATTAAGTAGAAAATTGAATAAAATAAAATAGCAAAATTTGATCAGTGAGAAGGCATATATTCGGAATACCTTGTCAAAAGCCTCCTATATTTAATCTTTTTTTATTCTTTTGCATTGAAAATGTTTTTGTTTTTGTTTTTATTTAAATATTAGCTAAAAGTATGTTATTATTATTATTTTTGTTTATTACTTTTTCTTTCTTATATAAAATCAAATATTTTCATTTTGTATAATTTTTTTTTGAAAAAAATTATATATTTTAATCATATTTTAAATTTTATATTATATTATTTTCTAAAAAAACATTATTTAAATTATTTAATTATTTTAATTTTAATTTATTATTATTATTATTATTATTATTTATATATATATTATATAATAATTATTTTTACTAATATATTCCTTAATTATTCATTTATCATAATTTTTCTAAATTTTTTAATCTATATTAATATGAACAATTTGTAAAACTAAACAAGAGTATAATTTGTACTATATATATTTTTAATAAATATATATTATTATCTTTCACAAAATACTCACATTGAACCTATTACATTACAAACTAAGCATAAATTTGTACTTAGATATTATGGCTACATTCATTAATTATTTTTAGATGAAATAATTTTGTGTGTCATGAAAAATTATATATAAAAAAAAATATAAAATAATTATTTTAAGTTGATTTGATTTTCTCTAATGAATATTTTAAAAAATTTACTTTTAATTTTGACATGAAATATTTTGTATATTTTCTTATTATTTTTGATAAATCACAATTAAAAAAAAAAATTGATGGAGGAGAGATCAGACCGAAAGTTTTACCATTATTTTTGCATTATTTTTTAAAAATGATTACACACTTTAATCTTATTTTAAACTTTTTAATTTTATTTTTTTAAAATTTAATAACACTAATTAGTTATCTTAATTTATAATTATTTATATTATAGGATAATTATTTTCACTAATATATTATTAATTATCTACTAATTACACATCTCCTAATAAAATACCGTGTCTACAGTGTCACAGACACGGTATGTGGGACGGAGGTAGTATTAATTTAACTACGAATGAAATGTAAAAATAATTATGTACATATTTTCCTATAAAATTAATTTATATTGATAATATATAAACATATGTACAATTTTAATCATTTTTTATCAAATTATCCAACAATGTATTTGAAAATAATTCAATATATATTTTAATTTTGATCATATGTACCACATTTGATCATTAATTAAAACAAGAAATTTCCAACTGCAAATAATCCATCCATTTTTTAGTGTGTTTAGTTGTAAATCAATAATAGTATTATTTATTTGTAGAATTTCAAATAAAAATACATTATTTTTTATAAAATATTATTTAAATAAAATTTTTTTTATATAATTTAATTTCAATCAAATTTAAATCATAACTAAATAAATCCAAAAAAATTCCAAGAATAGTATTCAAATGCCCAAAAGCTAAACGCGACACCTCAGATTTTCGTGCCCGTGTGCGCAGACTGCAACAAGGGCAACTTTGACATTTGACTTGAACATTAGACGCCGAGTAGGGGCATTTTCGGCAACCACACAAACAGTCAAATCCAGACACAGTGATCCTATATAATTTATGTAATAAGTCATTGACCTTCAACTTAAGTATAATTACAAAATAATAAATTAATAGGGCGAGATTCAAAGGCCATTTTTTTAATCGGGGGGAAAAACTACTCCATTTTATTTGTATTCGGTTTTTTTGTTGTTTTCTCTTTTGTTTGGGAGAAAAGCGAATTGTAACTACCAGACTTTGTCCAAAAAATAAGTAAATAAATAAATATTAAAAAAATTAAAATTAGAAAGCTCAATGGCTTGAAGCGTAATTTTCCTGAATATCAAGGGTAAGTTAAAAAGCCGATTTCTATATATACCTCCACGGCCTCATTTTAAGCCACTTTGGATTCAACCAATCGTCTTTAAAGCTATCGATATCAAATCAATATGTCGATCGGCTCGACGCTTCCGGCGCATAATCTCCACCTGTTTCAGGCCCGGCGGGCCGACTTTCAGCGCACCGGTTCTCGTCTCAACCCCCTGAACCGGCCGGATTTCAGTTGCAAGGCTGAAAGCTTGTCCACCAAATCCACCAGAAAGCACCTCTCTAATCTAGATCGGCTTCTGCAGAAGCAACCCGACCCGAACCCGCCCGACCCTGAACCGCCACGGAAGGAATCCGGTGAGAACAGGGGGAGAGGGATTTTGGAAGGACTGAGTCTGGCCAGAGTTTGGCCGGAAATGAAGGCGGCGGAGGAGATGTCGCCGCGCCATCTGAACCGGCTGCAGCGGCTGCTGTCCAAGTCGGCGGAGTACTCTCCCCGGAATTGTCTCGGCGGCCGGTGGCGGGAGTACCACGGGAACAACGACTGGGTCGGGTTACTTGACCCGCTCGACGAGAATCTCAGACGGGAGGTCGTCCGGTCCGGCGAGTTTATTCAGGCGGCTTACCATTGTTTCCATTCCGATCCGGCGACGTCGCCGGAGGAGGTTCTGTGGCCGCGCCACGTGGCGCTCCCTGATAAGTCCTATCGTGTGACCAAGAGCCTCTACGCGACGGCGTCGGTCGGGCTGCCCAAATGGGTCGATGACGTGGCGCCGGATCTCGGGTGGATGACGCAGCGGTCCAGCTGGGCCGGGTACGTGGCGGTCTGCGACGACCGGCGGGAAATCCAACGGATGGGAAGGCGAGACATCGTCATCGCCCTCCGAGGCACCGCCACGTGTCTCGAGTGGGCGGAGAACGTCCGCGATTTACTCGTCCCGATCTCCGGCGACGGCGGCGAACAATTGCACGCCAAAGTCCAATGCGGCTTCTTGAGCCTATTCAAAACACGTGGCGCTCACGTGCCCAGCCTCGCCGAATCGGTGGTGGAGGAAATCCAACGGCTGACGGAGAAATACAAAGGCGAATCTCTGAGCATAACCGTCACCGGCCACAGCCTCGGCGCCGCCCTCGCGCTGCTCGTCGGCGACGAATTGAGCACCAGCTGCTCGCCGGAGATGCCTCCGATCGCCGTCTTCTCGTTCGGCGGCCCCCGCGTCGGAAACCGCGGATTCGCCCGCCGCCTGGAGTCCAACAACGTGAAGGTCCTCCGGATCGTGAATTCCCAGGACGTGATCACCCGAGTCCCCGGAATGTTAGTCAGCGAGGATCTCGACCGCAAGCTCCGGGAGATCGACGGCGCCGGAAAAGTGCTGGACGCGCTGGACAACAGCATGCCGTGGGCGTACGCGCACGTGGGGACGGAGCTCCGGCTGGACACGAAGATGTCGCCGTTCCTGAGGCCGGACGCTGACGTGGCGTGCTGCCATGACCTGGAGGCGTATCTGCACTTAGTGGACGGCTACTTGGCGTCGAATTGTCCCTTTAGGGCTAATGCTAAGAGGAGTCTGTGGAGGCTGGTGAACGAGCAGAGGTCGAATATTAAGAGACTGTACACCAGCAAGGCCGCGGCGGCGCTCACCTTGAAGAATGTGTGTGGCGCGGCGGAGGCCGCCGGAGACGCCGACAGGATAGGCAGATCTCTGTCCATGTCCGGCTGAGCTGAATGGCATCGACTCAGTAGAAACACAGACAGCAATTCATCCCTATGTCGTTGTTTTTGTTGTTGTCCTGGAATGTAATCTTCTTGAAATAATTGACAAAGAAGTTACGCTGCAAATTGGATGTGTACATTATACATACATGCAATTTTATTTAAGATTAAGATTAATTCATATTAGTTTACGATACTAAATTTGGATTGGGATTTTTGACTTGCACAGAATTTGCATTTATCCCATTCATTGTGTAACACCACTACGGACTACGTGTTAAAATTCATTCATGAAACCATGGAATATTGTATTTTTGATCATCAACGTAAAAGACTTGAGCACTGTGGAACAGTTTACTCTATTGAGTAAGTCTAAATCAAAACCTATCAAATTTAAAATTGAGTATTTAAAATATTTCAAACAAAATGGACAATAATTAAAATTGAGCTGAATCAAATAGAATGTTGGATGGAACAATAATTTATTTATTTATTTATTTTATGTACAATTAATTCTAATATAATATAAAAAATATATGTATTTTTTGATGAATTTGAATGAAAATTCTAGAGTAAGAAACAAATCTTTCAAAATTTTCAAACAAACACAGTTGTAGATATTTTGAATTTATAATTTGATTGAAATTTAGATTTTAAATAGTAAACAATTTAAATTTAAATAATAATTTAATGTGATATGCTCTATTTTTTAATATAAATTTTTTAATACTCTATATTTGATGTTTTTGAAAAACAAAAATTTGTTAAAAGAAATGTCTCAAACCCACCCATTAAATACACTCTTTGTAACCTTTGTTGTAATTCATGTATAGCAATTTTTGGTAGATTTTTTTTAGGAAATTTATTATTAATCAATTTTTGTTTAAAACAGTATCAAATAAAAATTATTTATATATAAAAAAATTTCCCAATCACCTGGTTATATTATATCAAATTATTATAATCCATAAGTTGTTATTATTATTATTATTTTTTATTTTTTAATTTATTATCGGGCCTTAAAACACATCATTGGGCCGATAATATTATCGAGGAGAAGCCCATAATTGAGTAGTGCTAGGGTTTTCTATAGATTCGATATTTGGAGCGCTTGTCCGCACACAATCTCCTGTGCCGCATCAGGCTAGGGTTTTTGGGCATTGCCTTCTCACTTCGCACTCGCGAGGCTACTGTCTGGGTGAATCATTGCAATAGCTTCTTGTTCATCTATGCCGAGGCTCTGAGATTTGGATACGTTAGTGCTTGGGTTGACTGTTGTTTTCATCTTTAGGTAGTGACATAATGGCGTCTTTGAATCCTTTCGATCTTCTCGGCGACGATGACGCCGAGGACCCAACGCTGCTCCTTGCCGCGCAGCAGAAAGCCTCTTCTGCGGCGCCGGCTGCTGTGCAGCCAAAGAAAGCTGCGGGCGCGGCTCAGCCTGCGGCGAAAGCCGCCGCTAGGTTGCCATCCAAGCCTCTACCTCCGGCGCAGGCTGGTGAGCATTCGGAGATCGTTTTGTTTATATGGACTGTTCTTTTGATGTGTCTGTTTTTGGTCGATGTTTTCACGTTATATTGTTGCGTTTCTCTGCCGCTAATATGTTGATTGGTTTGATTGATATTGGATGAGATTATTTATTTATTCATTTTATAGATATAGCTGGTGCTGTTTTTTGTGCTGTGGATATTTGATTTGTGTAGTTATATTATTGAACGTATTCGTATTTGCAAGGAGTGGCACGATTCATATATTTCAATGTCTGTTCCTTGCTACTTCTGACGTTGTTAAGGCACTATTTTCTCTTTTTCTGTACATATTATATAAAGGTGAAGATTTAGGTTTTTACTTCGGTGACTACGTTAAATTTAATTCAGTTGGATTTTGTCTCAGAGAGGATGGGCTGATCCAGTTAATATATGTATTTCATATTCTATGACTTGGTCACAAATTTATATTGATCAATAGAATATATTGGCACTGCATTTATTTGTCATATAGCAGATAAGGTACTGATGAACCTTGAATTATACTCTAATAAATATAAATGATTTTATTATTAATGTTCTTATATTAAAGTGTTGATTAATTCATGGAGTGTACAGGTCGTATCCATGTAGGTGCCTCCATATTTCCTTAATTTCCTATTGCATGACATGCATTGGTGCCCTCTCTGGTAAATTAAACAATTCTTGTTAACACGGCTTTATAAATTTACTGTAAACAGTCAAGGAGTCTAGGAATGAAGGAGGGCGGGGTGGACGTGGAGGCGGCCGTGGTCGTGGTGGTCGAGGATTTAACAGAGATTTTATTGACAATGGAATTTCTTTTGGCAGCAATGGATTTTCTGATGGTTACAAGCCTTCAGATGAAGGTGATGGTGGAAGAGCTCCTTCTGAAAGGCGCCCATATGGTGGTCCCCGTGGAGGTGGGGGATTCCGTGGTGGTCGACGTGGTGGCTTCAGTAATGGGGAAAGTGCTGATGGCGAGCGTCCTCGACGAACATTTGATCGTCGCAGTGGAAGTGGACGTGGGTAAGGACATCTAAAAGCATTATGTTATGTTTCGTATTATCTCTTAGTTTAATGAATTTGTTTGGAGTTTGTATATTTGTGCTGTTTTTATTTATCATCTTTTTAAGATGAACTGGAAATGCAACCTGTTTATGCCAAGGCCCCAAATGTTGTTTTTGTTATCCTTTATTTTAATTCATCTACCCTTGATGATGGTGCAGTACTGAGATAAAGCGCGATGGTGCTGGCCGTGGAAATTGGGGAGCACCAAGCGATGAGATAGCCCCGTATGCACCAAATCTTTTCCTAGGACATCCTTTCCTATTAGTTGTTTCTTTTCCAATTGGGTAACCTACAAACCTTTAATTTCAGGGAAACTGAAGAACCTATTTCTGAAGAAGTGAAGAATGCTGATGCTGAGAAGCAATCAGGACTAGATGATGCTGGTGATGCCAACAAGGACTCTTCTCCAAATGAAGCGGAGGAAAAGGAGCCCGAGGAAAAGGTAGCCAATCACCCTTAAATTTTACTATTACTTGCCATAAATTTCACCATCGATCAACTTACTGAGAGCAATTTGGATCTATTCTTGACTTGTTAAAAGAAGCTTGAATTAAACTTGTTGGTTTGTGGATTTATTATATTTTGAAGTGGAAATAGCTTGGGTTTGTTATTGTGCATTGGCTTCTCTAGAAATTCCTAATGTTTTCCAACTGGGATTTTGTTGGTATCATCATGAATTTGGCCTTCTCGTGCTACACAGTTAATGCTTCAAATTTAAGTTTCAATGAAAGTTCAGAGTGTTTTGTTTTCAAGATGACCATTCATTTTATATTTAATGGTGTGATAGGAGATGACTTTGGAGGAGTACGAGAGGTTACTCGAAGAGAAGCGAAAGGCACTGCTTCCTCATAAATCTGAGGAGAGGAAAGTCGAGCTGGACAAAGAACTCAAATCTATGCAACTTCTGAGCAACAAGAAAAATGACGACGAGGTTTTCATTAAATTGGTAAGCACAATGCCATGCCATAATCTTCATTGTATTTCAAGAATTCCATGACAACCCTACTTACAACTTCCCATTAACCAAACAGGGTTCCGAGAAGGACAAGCGCAGGGAGGCTGCTGAGAAGGCCAAGAAGGTATATACTCATTTCTCATACAATTGCTCGATTTTTCCAAAAGTACATGGGATCGAGCAATTTAGTAAACAATTCACAAACCTCGATTTCTCTCTGTCTGCAGTCTGTAAGCATAAATGAGTTTCTGAAACCAGCCGACGGGGAGAACTACAGAGCAGGTGGGCGTGGAAGAGGCCGTGGCCGCGGTGGTCGAGGGGGTTTTGGAGGAAGCAGCTACCACAACATGCCGGCCCCGGTTATCGAGGATTCGATGCAGTTCCCGGCCCTGGTTGCCAAGTAAGGAGTGACTGACTGTATCCCATCTGAAAAACTAGAGTGGTTTTGATCATTTCTGTAAATTTTGGTATGCCGCTAAAGTGCTATGGTGCACTGCACTTCACTTTGAGACCATCATCCTCTCGCTTATTGTCCCTTTCAGCATTTTGTTTTCAGTTATTTCTTCGGATAATCCCTTTTTTTTTTCTTTAACGTTGGACTTATTGATATAATAACATTTTTGTTCGTGCATTTTCTCCTATTATTATTGCTATATTTACTGAGAATTACGTTAATAATACTCCACGAATGATACTCAATGGGTTTTTTTTTTTTGTTTTTGTGTCGAGGCTGAAGCCTTTTTATTTATTTTATAAGATCAGTTTCTATGGGTATGTTTACTATTGAGGTTTTAGTTTTGGGTTTTGATTTTGAATAATGAAATTTTGAATTGAAATAGTTGTTTGACATAATATAAATATGTATTGACTCATGTAAAATTATATTTTAATTTAATAAAATAAATAAAAATTAGATTTTTGATTTGATATTTTTAGAGAAAAAAAAATTGAAAGACACCCTATATAATTTAGAATGTGTTTAGAAAGTGGTATTAAAAATAATTTAGCATGTGTTTATGCGAGTGTGTTTGATTGAATGGATTTAGATTGATGGAATTTTTAAAAATGATTTTAACTCAAATTCATCTGCTCAAATGGGCTTAACTATTTAAGTTACTGCCAAATAGATTTGAATATTTGAATTATATTTATTTTGAAGTTAAGAAATTGGTGAATGTAAACCTGCACGGGAGAGAATATATATAAGTATTAGTAGAAAATATTTTTTACTGTAATAAAAAATAAATAATATTTTTACTTGATTAAAAAAAATAATAAGTAAACAGAGCAAAATCAGGCTTCGGTTAGTGAAGCAGAGGGAATTAGACAAAACCAATGAATCAATGATGCGTCTTCGTCTTCGTCTCAGAGGTACGAGAATGAGAACCCTCCCTTTTCGCAGATCCTCCTCGCTTCTAAACTCATTAACCACCCATTTCTGCTACTGCCATTACACTCGCAACATCCCATCCCCAAATGCTCATTCAATCCCCCACACCCAAACCTCTTCTTCCGCCCGCTTTCCAATCCAACAGGTGGTGGAGGAGGAGGAGCCGGCGGCGGAAGCTAGCCACGTCATCTCCTGCAACAAAAGAATAACCTCCTACATCCGACGCGGCGACTTGACCTCCGCTCTCAAAATATTCCACAGCATGACGACGAGGACCACCGTCACCTGGAATTCAATTCTCGCCGGACTCTCCAACAAGCCTGGAAAACTACAAGACGCACACCACCTGTTCGACGAAATTCCCCAACCAGACACTGTTTCATACAACCTCATGTTATCCTGTTACTTCAAAAACGGCGCCGTCCGCGACGCCGAGGCCTTCTTCGATCGGATTCCAGCCAAAGACATCGCCTCGTGGAACACCATGATCTCCGGCCTGTGCCGGCACGGCCGGATGCAAGAAGCCAAGCACCTCTTCTGTCGCATGCCTCGACGAAATTCGGTGACGTGGAATGCAATGATATCAGGCTACGTCCAATCGGGGGACATGTCGTCGGCGCTCGAGCTATTCGCGGCGGCTCCGACAAAGGGCGTGATCGCCTGGACCAGCATTGTGACTGGATACATGAGGCACGGCGACGTCGAATTGGCCGAGAAAACTTTCGAGGGAATGCCGGAGAAGAATCTGGTGACGTGGAATGCGATGATAGCCGGATTCATCGAGAACGGAAGGGGAGAGGATGGTTTGAAGCTTTTCAAGAACATGCTCGAATTTGGGGTTCAGCCAAATCCGTCGAGTTTGAGTAGCGTCCTTTTGGCATGCAGCAACCTGTCGACGTTAAAGTTCGGGCGGCAGGTGCATCAGTTTGCGCACAAGTCTCCGGCATTGTGTTTGGACACGACGGTCGGGACATCGTTGATAAGCATGTATTGTAAGTGCGGGGTTTTGTCTGACGGACGGAAGGTGTTTGTCGAGATGACGTCGCGTAGCGACGTCGTAACGTGGAATGCGATGATCTCGGGCTATGCCCAGCACGGGCGTAGTCGAGAGGCGCTTGATTTGTTCGACGAGATGACGGGCACGGGAACGAGGCCAGATTGGATAACCTTCGTCGGAGTTTTGTCGGCATGTAACCACGCCGGGTTGGTAGATCTCGGGATGCAATACTTCGAGGAGATGCAGACGAGGTTCGGTATCGAAGTAAAGCTCGATCACTACACTTGTTTGATCGATCTTCTCGGTCGAGCGGGTAAGCTCGCCGAGGCTGTCGATTTGATCGAAAGAATGCCGTTCGAGCCTCATGCCGCGATATACGGAACTCTCCTGGGCGCATGCCGGATACATAAAAACTCAGAAATCGCCGAGTTCGCCGCATCGAATTTACTTTGCCGTGATCCCGATAACCCCGCAGCGTATGTTCAGCTCGCTAACGTATACGCTGCGAAGAAGAAATGGGAGACAGTCGCCCGGATAAGGAAATCGATGAAGGAGAACAGGATCATCAAGACGCCAGGATGCAGTTGGATGGAGATAAAAAGCGTCGTTCACGAGTTTCGATCAGGGGACAGGCTTCACCCGGAGATCAATCACATAAGATCGAAGCTCGTCGAGCTCGGGAGGAAGATGAAGCTGGCGGGGTATGTCCCGGATCTCGAATCGTCTCTGCACGACATCGGGGAGGAGCAGAAGGAGCAGCTGCTGATGTGGCACAGCGAGAAACTCGCCGTGGCCTTCGGGTTGTTGAAGGTGCCAAAAGAGTTGCCAATTCGGGTTTTCAAGAACCTCAGGATTTGCAATGACTGCCACCGCGCAATCAAGTTCGTGTCGGCCGTCGAAGGGAGGGAGATCGTCGTCAGAGACGCGACGAGGTTCCACCATTTTCGGGATGGAGAGTGTTCCTGCGGTGATTACTGGTGACAAAAAACCTACGTAACATTTAGAGAGACAGAGAGAAACAGACATCCTGGGGTTGCTAAACTACCTAACATGGGATTCTTCGAATTGCTCGATGGATCTTAGGTAGAGCAGCAGCCGGATTTTTGGTTAACAGGCTGTCCTTTGATCTGCACCAACGGAGGTCGAGCGTTCATCGACGGTTGGCTTGCCATCCTGACAGAAGATAACATGAAGTTGAGAGAAGAAAATTATCAGATAGTCAATATACTGAAAATTTAGAACCTGCTCTTGATGGAGGAAGCCATAGCCATGAAAGCTTGCTCCACATTGGTCGAATTTTTGGCGCTTGTTTCCATGAAAGGTATGCCAATTTCATCGGCAAATGCCTAAACAAGAACAGCCATCTTCTATGTGAAAATTTAGAGTAGATTTGTATCTGTTTCTACTTAAACATCTGAAAAATGTAGTACAAGATTTTTACCTTTGCTGTTTCTGTGGGGACGACTTTTTGGGCTGTGAGGTCGCACTTGTTTCCGACAAGAAGCTTGTTGATGTTATCACTTGCGTATCGATCAATTTCATTCAACCATTGCTTGACATTCTTGAAACTCTCTTGATCAGTGACGTCGTAAACAACCTGAGAAACCAGAACAAGGCTAAATCAAGGCTAATGTACTCATCAGTTCGACTAAAACTGGGGAATGTATATGATCGAGGAATCCTTACAATAATGCCATGAGCGCCGCGGTAGTAGCTACTAGTAATTGTCCGAAAACGTTCCTGTCCAGCAGTATCCCACTTCATATGGAAACAGGGGTAGTAGATGTTAGTTTTTCTGCATGCCAAGAAATGTTTCTTCTATGGAAACAAGAACTTGTGTTCATCTTTGAGAAGAAACTGTAATTTGAGAAACTTACAATCTGCAGCTTAATTGTTTTCCCATCTAGCTCCACTGTGCGGATTTTCTAAGCCATAGAAATGAAATTGATTAATCTACAAAGATGGAGCTCCATATGTTGGAGGGATGTTAGTTAAACTTAAACACATGAGAATGAAGAACTTACAAAGTCCACACCAATGGTACTGATGTAACTCTCAAGGTATGAGTCATCCTGGAAAAAAGATAGGTGTAAACAATAATGGTTCTCACATCTTCACAAGATTATAATGATTTAGTTTGCAAGAATGGACCAACTCATGAAATGACATTACAGGAACTAAGAACTTACTGCAAACCTCAGGAGAAGACATGATTTGCCAACACCTGAATCTCCAATAAGCAACATCTTGAAAAGGTAGTCACTGTAACAAGAAAATAAAATAATTATTGTTAAATTGTTTCAAATATGTCTGATGAGAATTTCGGCGTTGTTTATTTGGAATTCATCTCACAAACTTCACTATCTGGATTTTATTTTATTTTATACTACATTGCATTAAACATTATTTAGCTACAAAATCTAAATCAAGTCTTTTCAATCCGAACAGAAAGAAACACAGACGTAGATCATTCTAATTCCTATTAATTTTCAAATTTGCAATGGCACACTTATTTCCCAAATCTCAGCTCATTTGGCCTATAGCAAAAAATCAATAACACACGACAAAACGATCACCTGATCCAAATATGATTTCGATAGAACACCATGATTATTCAAATTCAATAAACACAAGATCACAAAACACCACATCTTCCAGCATCCAAGCAATTGAGAACACACAAATAAATAAATTCACGAACAATATACCGAAAGGATCGACACTGATCAAACCGCTTGTGCTGTCCTAAGTAAATAAAACATAATACCAACACCACAAAATCCTATACAATCCAACAACAGAGAGAAGATTTTACTATTCTGGATTCATCGCCGGCGCCAAATTGATAGAAGACGAACACTCAAAGACCGACGTCGAAAATCAACTCTTTCTCTTGAAATTTTTTTTTGAGAGAAAAAAATGTGCAAATTTCAAATACTGAATCTGGAACCACATATATTATACATTTCTCTATTTAGGTGCATTGTTGTTAGAGAGAAGAAGGAAGCCATGAATGCAGGAGCAGTGACGTGGAAGGCCAAGCCTGTGCCTGTTAATCTAATTTTCACTTTATTTGGAATCAATGTTATAATTCCTTTAGCATATTTTTCCATGATCATTTTTATTGCTGGTATTTTTTTGAATTTTTCTCTAATATTCGGATTTTTTCTTTGTATACTAAATTATTTTTTCCATTTTATTTGCAGTAAAGGTTTTTTACACAATATTTTCTTTGTTCCTAGGGTGCAATCCGCTGCTATTTGAGACTGCCGCTACGCAATGCTGAAAGATGTTCTTTGGAATGCTATTATAGTTTATTTTTCATTCAATTTTTCTGTTTTTATCATAATAATTTTGTATTCATAATATTCAGCACGACCATAAGTATAAATTTAAATTGTCACACAAACATTTCCCGATGTTAATCATTCTATTTGAAAATTTTACAAGATCAAATATGTTTATTGATATTTTTATAGATCGTGGTGGAGCTAGGCACGATCGATAAATTGCCACAGGACCAGAAATATCGCCAAACAAGGCATGGTAAATTTTATATTTGTTGATTGGTTAGAAAAAATTATATTTTTCTACAAGATATTTACTAATATAATTAATTATTTAGCTAATCACATTGCATAGTACTATTACATAAAAAAAAAAAAAAAAAAGAAAAAGTCGAGCAAAGCCTATTTTAGTAAATTCGAAAATATATCGAAAAAAGAGAAAAAACATTCAAAAGCTCGCACAAAATAGATCTTTAGTTGGGTTCAGAAACATGCTTATCCAAGAAAGCCTGGGCAAGATTGCTGAAGCTCACATTTACTGCACCTGCTGCTGCAAACCTTTTAATGGCGTCGACGACCTCAGGTTTCAAGATTTCATTCTTTGTAGTCGAATTACAGAGATAGTACAGTGATCCAATAGCACAATTCACCTACATTAAATTGAAGAATGAAGCTTTAGACCATACATAGAATTACTATGGCTTTAGTTAAGCTTTAGCACGATTGTATTTGACATGAATTGAGGTGTGATGCTAATGATTTTACCGTATTCTTAACCGGGCTAGATAAACATTGGATGACGAGAGGAACGCCTCCACATTGAACGATAACAGCTGCATTTGTGGGATCTGCAATGTTAATGAAATCAGAACTACAAAAATGGTTGAGCTGGTGAAGATCTTCGATATCTTATCTATTTTGTTTATGTATGTTGCATCTCAATGTCTGACCTGCACAAGCATTGCAAATGCCGCCAAGAGCAAACTCCACAAGCCTCTCGTTAGGCTCGGTTAGACAGTCCAGAAAAAGTTCCAGAACATTTAGCTGCCAGGATAGCATTGATATCAGTGTGACGAAAAAAATGAGAAATTTATACTGACTTACATGTGTATGTTTTGATTTGTAACCTGGCGGAGGAACGTATAATTGTAAGGATCATATGCAAAGTTCCCCAAATTGGCAACAATTTTCTCTTTCATTTCTGAAATATTGCCCCAGGATAGTGTTAGATAAACACAATCCAGTCTTATTCTACCACAAGATTTTCTATAGGATAAGTATTAAAGCTAATGATAAAAAGACCATAAATTCATTGTTTTGGTTAAACTGTTAATTCATTTGTGATCACTTAAAGGCACAATTACCAAATAAAACCTAATGAGCAGCTTCAACTCTTTGTGTATTTCAAAAACTAAAATTAACTGATAACTCCAACAATTTGATCACAGGCTTTCATTAGATAGCAAACAGAAACTGAAGAATTTAAAAGAAAGCTCACATTCACTAACATATTCGTGCATCCGAGCAAAAAGTAGTATGCCTTCAAGAACTAAAAATGCTTGTTCCAGATGCAAGTTCAAGTTGAAAACAAAAATTTTAAGTGTTCTTGAGACATGATTTTTCATCAAACTAGTGTGATATTCTCTACCAAATTCGATCTAACAACCACACTCCTATTCAGCAGTAGTTCTATGAAAACATATGTTCAAATCGTCAGCGCTTAGTTTGGTGTTAAAAACTGATCCTAGCATATCAATAGCACCAAGTATTCCACCAATCATGTCAATTCACTTGATCTGGCACAATCTATGGACAATTCAAAAGTCTGAAACAAATCAAAAATTGATCGGGGGCCTAATTTGCAGAGCTCACATTAAAATGAAAGAAGCAAACCAATGAGCTAGACCTAATTGTTCTTGAAAGAACATACCTTCATCAGATGAATTCTGAAATTGAGTAACCAATTCCTAGGTGAACAAAAGGAAGATATGATCCATTACAACTAGGATAACTCATTGAACATACTAAAAAACGAAAAATTGGAATAGTTAAAGAATCATATTGCATTTTAATTTGCAAGGTAATTAAGCAACACCTGGAGGTATTGCAGCCTAGGGGTTCCATATTTCCCCTCGCGCTCTTTCTGTCTCCGATCATTCGTAAACATGAGAGCTGCAACAAAGAAAGCAGCATATCCATATTGTTCACTAACAATCTTGATTTCAAACTTGCAATTTTTTTTTTATCTATTTGCGCGGCCTTCAAGAAGCATTTTATAGTTCACTTCAAGAGAAAGAAATCATGGCGTCCTTATTTCCATCTCCGACATTGCACATAGAATCGACATAGAAGAGAAGAATAGCACAGGTCATTCAAGTGCAAGGGAGTTATTTATTCATGTCAATTTCAGAAGAACAATGTGATTTGAGGGGAAGACTAGTGGACTACCTACTTCGATTTGGGATTGTGCTCTTAGCCTGATTTTTTGACTCTCCGAACAAAATTGAGGGCGAGGGGAAGAGGCGGATTGAGCAGGTACATATAATGCGTTCCAGTTGAAACGTCTCCTCACACGATCGAGTGGCTTGCATGGTAGGGCAGCTGCGAGAAGGCCTCCATCGTGCAAACCAGATGGAAACTTTGTCTGAGAAAATCTTCTTATTATCTATTGCAGAAATTTCAGCGTCGTATCGGAAGGTCTCCCTTGCCGCCGGAGAGGGATCGCCGAGACGGCAGCTGAATAATTTAGAGCGAGACCATGGGCTTGAATATATTTTATTGATTATTCTCTGACCGTCCGATATATATTATCTTTTATTCCTGACCGTTGGTCAGATGTATATAATGGGTTTTGGAGTCGGTGGACTCAGGCTTACTCCTAAATCGGACCCAATGGTTTTGAAGAAATGAAGGATTGGGTAGTTGCAGGCCCGATCCAATACCCAAATTATAAAAGGTAAAGAGATCTGCAGAGAATCCGCCATTGTAGCTTCTCGAGAAGTGACAATCAGGACTGAATGGCAATGAAAGGGGGAAATGGAGTAACTTATACAAATGATACGAAACAGGCGGGAAGGATGAGATTCGAGAATCCCTTCGCCTTGAAGATAGGCCAAGTATTCACAGGCTTCGGAATCGGGTGCGGAATTGGCATTGGCTATGGCCGACCATTGAACCTGGGTATCTCTTGTTTGCTCTGTGTGCTAGCTCACTCTTGGCCTCTCTGTTTATCTCCCCCATAGGAGCTTAGTGCGGAGCAGGAGTTAATTGTCGAAGTTTCTTCCAATTTCTGTGACACACACACACTAACATATATATGAAACTGTTGTAGATACTGTGAATTTTTTGAATTGATTATCGTAATGTTTGGGGTATGTGTTTGGTATTTCTCTGAGGCTCAGCATTCAGGACTCTCTGGAAATTTGTATTTTTAGGTTAATCAATGCAGTTTCAGTGTTTTTGAAGAAGTTCGTGTAATGTTGGCTCTATTTTGCCATCATGCTTGAGTATATATTTCCTTAGTAGAACTATTTGCAGGCAGCTCTGGTTGATCAACTTCTTCATGGAAAATCATCATTTTAGAAAATATGATTTTGACAGATTCACATAAAAGAGTAGTAAGAATAAGCAAGTTAGATGGTGTGTGCTTAGCAAATTTAATGGAAAGTCGTCTTCTTTGTGCATTAGATGGTTGATCTGATGATCTCATATATTTTCGATTAATGTTATTCATAGATCATCAACTTTCAGAGGAAGATATATCCTTTAACATGTAGTTTCAAACAATTTGGTTCTTTTACCCTTTTCATGGTCAAAAAATGGAATCTGAGTTTGTTGCCTGACTGTTTCTTGTCGCTTTCGAAACATAGGTGCAATACCTGTTTTGAACCAAGTTATGGTTGCTACTAGGGGTGCAACTGATGCCTTTTCAGGTGTACAAGTGCATATCAACAATTCTGTATGTGGTTCTAATATCTGTATTCAATGAGTCTACTTGCCAATTCAGCTTCATATTGATAATGTATTTTCGTTATTTATCATGTATCAAGTTGAGAAAAGTTGGTGCAAAGAACATTGAAGCAGGTTTTGGCTGTGGTGTGGGTTTCGGCCATGGATTTGGTGTTGGTATGTATACATAGTGCATAAAATTGATACTCTAATGTTTCATTTTCCTGATGATTAGACTGTTCTGTAACTTATACTCTCTTTCACCCAAGGAAATTGTTCTTGAGGTCTTTAGTAGTACATCTTGAATGATAGCAAGCTGAAGTCTTCGCTATTATTTCTAAAAATTATTGTTTGAGATTATGAACATTGTTTTTTTTCCATAACTTTCCATTTATCTCCATGCGTCTCTATTCTTTATATATGCATGTTCAAAACTTAATCTCAGATCATTTTGTTCATTGGGGTTTATTACTTAGGCAGTCTTATGTCGAGTTTGTGGATGCCATCGATAATTTTGCATAAAAACTCTAGCAACAAGACAACATTTTTTAATTGTGGTTTACCTTGTGTGACTTGCCTTTCCGGCTTAGTTTGCAAGCTATTAAGTTCGGCTAGGGGTCTTCCCAGGGCATACTCAAAGAGTAAGCTGTGGATTTCCACATTATAAAAAAAAATAAAAAAATTGTGGACTTGAGGAAACTAGGAATTCTGCAGTGAAGTTGATTGATTCTTACAAATCACTAAAAATCTAATTTATGAACTGCTAAACATAATCAATCATATATTTATTGTCAGCACCTATACCTTTAACTGCAGCAGTAACTTCACTATACTAGATAACAGAATGACTTTGATTATTTGCCTTTAAATGAAAAAGATCCATTGTACTTTTTTCAGAATATGAATGTCAAAAGCTGCTGCTTAAGTAGAAAGTCAATTCATGTAATAAGTGCTCAATAAGAGTCAGTAAACTACTTTTTTTTGGCTAGTTATTTATAAATTATTGTGTGTTACAATTTGTAAGCTGCACAGTTTAATTCTTGTTACTTATCTTAGATGTCGAGCATGTTGCATGACTTGACAGGCCTAGCTTTGAAGCCTTCTGTATTGCATCAGATTCAATCTCAAGCTGCAGTATGAACTCATGCTCCATCTATTTAATCAACAACAAAGTTGTGGTTTTCTCCTAATCGTCCATCTCTTACATTTTCAGCAAGTTGCAGCTCAATTGATGAAAAAACTTGGAGTGGGTTCTGATTCTCTATCATCCGTTAATCAGGGCATTCTTCCAGCATCTTTACAAACAGGAATGAACATGGTTAAGGAACCATCACATGAAAATTCTACTGGAGATATTAGTCAATTTGTAAAATCAGTATCAAACAATACACATAATGGAAACATTAGGGGGGAAAGAGTTGTCGTTTCAGAGCATACTGTAACTCCTGAGAGCTCTGAATCAAGTACACAATATAGCAGTCGAACAGAGACCGTCCTTAATAATTTTTTGCAAAATCCTATTCTAAAGGAGGGAATTTCACTTCAAGAAAAGGTAATTGGAATTAAATCCTTTATGATGTGTTATTCTTATTGCAAATACTTAACTTTATTTGGTTTGAAGATTTTCTCAATTTTCCATTCTTTGCTCCTAACTCGGTTACCAAACAAATCAGATACCTACATTTTAGTCTTTTACTTTTGAAACTTGTTTCTATTAGTTGATATGCGCTAGCTACTGGTATCAGGGTTGCCAAATAAGAAATAATTCATCAGTAAAGTATATGCTTCTACTAATTTCAAATAACCTAATACATAGCTAATGCATGTTCACTCTGTGCATTATATGTGTTATATTAAAGATACTCTAAATTGATGGCTGATGAATTCTTGAAAATAATTGTATTTTATTCCCTTTCACATTCTCAAAGTCAATTTGAACATCTTTCTTTGATTTATGCATTATGTGGCATCTTATAATGTGTTCCAATGATTACTAGCTCTTTCTTTGACATAGTAGTTTGAAGTTATTGCTTCTGCTGTTCTGTAAAGGTTATAATGTTTGGGGGGGGGGGGGGGGGGGGGGGGGGGGGGGAGGTGGTGGGGACGGGGGGGACTTCACACTCTATGCTGAATTTCTTGTGACTTTCCACGGAAGGTTGGTTACTAACTCCATATATTAATTGCAGGCTGATCCACTGCAGCTGGAAAATAAAATCCTTCAGATGGTAAAGCACTATTGTGACACAGATAACCTATTATTTATGCATTAAAACTTTTCATGGTAGAGTTGAAACTTTATCCAAATTCATTATGATCTAGAAACTTGTATCTTGATTGGTGCCTTGGCAGATCAAAAAGTAGTTATCATTGTTTCTTCATTGCATCTTAAATGAACTCAATCTCTTGTTTATTTTGTTCTTGTTAGATGAAGAACACTAACATCAGTTTTTTATTAGGTATTAAAACACCAGTTACTCATTGATGAGCTAATGCAAGAGAACGAGAAGCTTCACCAAATATTGGTTGAAGACTTGAAAGTGCATCCCAACAAACTGCAATCTACCTTCATTAGTAGGAGTAAGTCCACTTGTGCTGAATGTTTTGAATGCCGCAGAAAACAAAGAAGAAGATGAAGTAATTATCGTCCATGTAATTATCCAAGTATTTTGTCTCAACAAGTGCCTGCATTATTTATATCACATCTAAGCATTCTTAAAGGGAACTAGGTCCTGCCATTGAGCACACTTCTTTGGAACAGAGAGAGCAGAGTCGACTACCTAAAGGTAATTTTAATAGAAAATAGTATGATTTAGAGTTCATCACTACACACCTCTTTAAGTCAAGCAGCCTTCTAGTTTATAAAAATTTAATATTTTGGTTGGATGCCGCCTGATCTATTTTGTAAGGCCAGATTTTGTAGTCTGCTGATTTTTTAGTAGATGCGTTTCTCTTGATGCTAACTTCTAAAAATGTATAGATTTTTGAAAAGTTATTATTTCAATTGGATAGATTATTATACCACAGTTTGTAGGGGCTAATTCATTAGAGTGGTTAACTAGTGAAAGGGAGAAAAGATGCCTCTCTTAAATGTGACATTGCCAGATATTAAATTGAAATCAGTATTAGGGTATGGAGATGAAGGTGTGGCCAGGAAGGTTGCACAGACAAGAAACTCTATAAACGACTGCAGAGAATATCCAGTAAGTTTTGCTTTAAATATAACTGAGCTGATAAGGTGTTCACATCACTGCTACACATTTAGAAGCTTCAAATTTCCATCTGGTACTAGTTCTACCAGTCTCAGTCATATCAAAAAGACCTTCTGGCATAAATAATCTTTTGATAAGACCTTAATGCAGGATTTCACTGTCATTACTAAGTTTGCTCGATATTTTGAGATCAATCTTCCTTGTGGTTTAGAGATGGTTTCAAGAAAACCAAAAGGCAGAATCAGAAGGGGTTTTTGAGTCAGTTTACTTGCATGATAATGAAAGGATTAGTGTATTGTATGAGACATCTGATCAAGCATCCTTTTTAAGAGAGTGTCTGATGTTGATTAAAAGAAGGGTGTAATAATGCCTGAAGTGTTTCTAACTTACTTTACGCGCCTCAATCGGAATTATTAAGAAGGGATCCGAAGTTCCAATTTAAAACCAGTTAATGTTAAGTGGAGTAGCTTTTCACCTTATAAGTAATAGGGAGTTCCCGCAGTTTTCCTATGTGGGACTATTCAACAAGAAGCAATATATTTGATTGAGGTTATCTTGAATTAAGAATACTTGAAAACCTCAGTACTTAACAAAGAGTTTGTGACAATACATTGATACTTCTCTTCTAGTTACACTGTAGCTTCATAATCTACCTATGCTGCTATGAAGGTCGATAATTTGGCTTAAAGAAACATATCTGAAAAGCATAATATCATCATATCCTTATATGTTTAGCGACAATGGATGCCTTCTAGGCAAGATTCTTTTTTATCTTTCGCTATTGGTGTGCTGTTATTTGTTCATCATCTGTAGGACCACTGTGTGTGCTGTGTGGAGGTGAGCACACATGTTAATCTTACACCATGTGCATATCACTGTCTTGCTGATGATGGTCCTCCACAGCTCTCCTCTCCACCAACATTCTCTCACACTTCCAAAACCCCACTTTCCACACCCACCTACTGCAAGAACTCCTTCACACAGTTCCACAAGGTTAGAATAGAATAGTCTCCTTTTCTTACAGCCTGTGTGTGTTCTCTTCCATATGTCAATGTCACCTCTCTCTGTCATGCACTGTATTCTATTTGGACCTAAAATTTATGGCCATCATAGGGGAGTTTTGAACCTTCTGTTCTAGAATGATACAGACTTAAGCTTCTTGAATTGGATGGATTTTAAGAGAATTGTTAAGATTTTTCATGTCAGCAAAGGTTTATACCTTTCTTTTTTGAAACCCGTTATTACCGACTTCAGAGTTAAATGGGCTAGGACTACATAATGCTTCCGGCTCGCGGCAGAGGGCCAGCAGCGTGCTACACATGAATTGTCAAGACTACTAATTTCAATGTGTTGTGTTTTCCCTTTTGGGAGCCTATTACGAATAACTTTAGGGTTAATGCCTTGGGGTTGTTACACATACATTGAATGGAAGCATAAATGTGGTACTTACATGGAAACCATCAAGGATACTTGCTGGTTTGGAAAGAAATATTACAAATAATAGATGAACATCAAACTAGGGGGTGGGGGTGAGGGGGTGGGAGAACACAAACAATAAAGAATACTCTAGTTTTTATTCAAGTTGTACTGGAGAATGCAAATGAGAGCTAGACATTAGATTTAGGCAAGAACTGCAGCTGCCCCAAACAAAGCCAAGAATATGGTCTTGCTGGCTCCCTGCCAATATGCAGCCGAGGGTGGCGGCTCAGTTACCATAGAAGGTCCCGGAGCCGGAGCCATTGGTTGCATGGATGGAGCCATGGGTGCCGGTGGAGATGCCGGCATCATTGGCGACATTTCTGGTCCCATTGGTGGAGCCGGCTGTGACATTGTTGGCGGCAAGCTTGGCTCGGATGCCGGCGGCGGTGTCATGGGTGGCGGAATTGGCATTGCAGTTGGCGACACTGTCGGGGATGTAGTCGGAGATTGAGCAGATGAGAAAACAGCAAGGGCAAGCAATGTAGGGATGATGAAGAAGATGGCAGCAGAGAGAGCCATGGAGGGATGGGAATGAAAATGTCACAAATGTAGGCTAAGCTATGCTGTCTGTGTGAGAGATTTTTAACAGAGACAATTATAATGTGGAGAGGTGTAAGAAAGAGGTGGATGTGTGGATAGAGATTAGGGTTGAGAGGATTATGTTTCATAACATACGTACAGTGTATGTCTCTCTGTTGTGTGTCTAATGCTGACAGGGATCAAGTATGGGTGCTCAAAGTTTTACTATAAAAGAGGGAAAAGTAAGACAGGAGTGACCACACATTGTTCACATCTACATCAGGAATTGAATTTAGTGCCAAAAGGTATACAACACAACAAACAAGAAAGGCTGGCAATGGCCTCAGCAGAATCAGATGATGTCCATGATGATAAAATTTACAGCAAAATATTTTCAGATGCTGTAAAAATTCAACATCTAAAATTTATTTTCATTCAAAAAAAAAAATTCAAAATTATATTCACGTTATTACTAATCCCAACTAAATATATAATCCTAATGTGGTTACAAACTAAGAGAAATGTTTACATGACCAAAGAGAAGAAAGAAACAATGGAATAAAATCCTCTAATCACACCTTCTTTTGTCTTAAGCACTTGCTGGTGTTTTTCAACTGCCTCGGAAATTTAGGGAAATAAATACAACTATCTTGTCTCGAAGAAAACCCTGTTTTTCGTTTCGTTTTGTTTTCTTGATTTCTGGATCCATGTCGAATCTTGACCAGGCAAATTCTGAAACTTAAATCAACAGCCTGCAGGGAGAGAATGGCTTCCAGCCTTCTGCATGTAAATCTCCTGGTGTGCTTGTCAATTACTGTCGAATCAAAAATCAATACACAAGGCATAATATTTATATACAGTTCAAAAATGATCTTGGGTTGCATTATAGATGCGGAAATTTTAGAGTACTTGCACTTTCAAAAAGGGAAAAGGATTCAGATCATCGTAACCAATAGCTTATGATCTCAAGGACTCAAGAATAATTATAAACTAAAGAACGTCGATGTGCAGCACAAGAACATAATAATGTTGCCTTTGTTCCTTTTGCATGCCAAAGAATGAAACATTAAAATTGGATGAGGCCGATGACGATCAAGAGACTTGAGACAATTTTCATAAAGTTTGGGGCTAAAATTGTCAAGACTTTTTTGAGCTTATAGCATTCCTAGAAAGATAATTTGAAGGGTAGAGAGAAATTCTAGTGAAAATGCAGTAAGCGTAAATCTCCATTTAAAAGATAAGACATATCAATTGCGAAAGATGTTTAGCGTGTCTTGGCAGTAAGTTTCAGTCTTAGTTTGAGCAAATGAGACTAATCACAGGAAATTGTTTATGATTTCAAAGGTTGAATCTTTCCCATAGTCCAACCAGATTTCTAGAAGAAACAAGAAAGCAAATGAATAATTATTTAGCAAGGTAACATGTTTCTGCTTCGAATCCACTTACCTTTGGAAATTACATTACTTTGGATGTAACCTACTCAGCCAGAATATAAATGGTGTTTCTTTTGCCAAGTGCCAAGGAGGTTTGCCTCTTAAATTGAGAATCAGTTTGGTTTATTTATCAATTTAGTCAAACAGACGTAGATGTGCAAAAGCTACTGCAAATAAATTATGAAAATTACCTGCAGGATTGTTTGTGTTCACTGAACAATCTGTCGTCTGGAGAAATTCTCTCTTATTTCAGCCATAACCAAGTGAGTCAAAAGTAGACCAGCAGCAAAAGCACCACAGATTAGCATAGAAAAAACTGCATCCCAACCCTTTGATGAAAGAAATCCAGTCAAAAGAGGACCTAAAGCAGCACCAATAGATCCGGTGCCATCTATGATGGCTGTAACTGTTGCCAATGCTCGAGAATCACTTTTTAAAGAACTGTGAGTGCCAAGATCAGCTGAGACTGCAGTTGTTATAAGTGCATAAGGTCCATTTATAAACAATCCAGCGAACATCATAAGCACAATGTTGGTGGCTTCTGAAATGCCTCCGTATCTCCGGTAAAGAAGCAGTGAAGGGATTGATGCGTACATGAATGAGGCAGCGGTAGTAGCCCGAGCTCTAAGTTTGTCAGACGTATAGCCAGCAAGAATTCCTCCAATTATTCCTCCAACATCGAATAGAGTAGAAAGATTTCCAGCAGATTTTACTGACATGTAACGTCCTCCAATAGCTGCATCACAAACCAAGAACATAGATATGAACATATATTTGCAAGGACTTTCACTCAAGTGTGTTCCAATATAATGATATTGTTGGCAAAAAGCAAGCCAGATTTATGACTGTGTTTAGGCCAAATAAAACTGATGTATTCCAGGCACCCATCTCATTCCTAATTTAGAAAATTTTGAGTTGGAGCAACTTACAGTTTGGTTATTTATACTACTATCATGGTATAGACTTTTCAGTAAAGGCCAAGAACTTCTTCTAAATGGTTCAATGGTCACACAAAAGGCATTTTACCATGCAGACAGTGATATTATAGCAGGAATCAATTATAGTTGAAGGTCTCTTTTTCTTATTCATTAGATTTTTTTTAAAAAGGATGTCTTGTATTTATTTTTATACATTAGTCGCTTCCAGCTCCCATAAAACGCAAATTCAACTGTTCCTAACCAAGTATTTCTCACATCCTTTTACCAGGCTGCAAGACAACGTCACCAAAGTAGAGTAGTAGTGAAGAAAATGGCATGGGAATTTTATGAATAATGTTCATATTAATGAAACGTAAGTGTGCACATCCCACTGCCTGATGAAGAATGCAACGTCACAGCTATAATACAGCATAATAATCAAACCAGGAGGATCTGAAAATTACCAGTTTGACTGAGGTAGAACGGCAGCCAGTAGAGAAACGTGTACGCAACGAGCTTCGCAAAGAAGAGACAAAGTGCAAAAGGAATAACTCCGGGTATCAAGAAAGCTTCAAGAAGGCCAACACTTCTCCTGCTTCTGGGAGTTGGCAAAGGCTTGCTGCTACTCTGCTCATTCCCAACCAAAGGCTCTTGCAATAACTGGGATTCTTCATCTTCAGACTTCGTCTGTGAAGTCTGAATTCCAACATCCTCTGGATAAGCTGGCAAGAACAGAAAGACTAATAAACCAATAAAAAAGATGAATGCGCCTGGAAGGATGAAAGACCATCCCCATCCATATTGCAGAACACTTGCAGCAAGTAATGATCCAGTGATATTCCCAATCGAAGTATGGGCATTCCAAATCCCCATTATCAATCCCCTCTTCCTCTTCCCAAACCAATTGCCTATGACGGCCACAACCGAAGGCCAACCAGTCGCCTGGAACAAACCTGCAACCATTTGCATAGCCAGATAGAACCAGAAGACATGGATATTCCAAAAGTAACCCATCCCAAATAGCGCTACGAAAATACCACTCCCAACCATGCCTGTAGTCAGGAATATACGAAGGTCCAATCTATCCCCCAAATGTCCAGACACATACATTCCCATGGAATAAACAGCTAGAAACGCCACATCAATTTCCCCCAATTTCGAAGTTCCATCCTTCCCGTTGAACGGTTCCCAACCTCTGTAATCATTCAAATCAACCGTCTCCATATCCACACCGCCATCGCTGTCCTTGTGAATGAATACATCGCCGACAGGCCAGGGACGAGCTCGGGTTGAATTTCTGTGGGGGTACGGATCCAAAACACTTTTCACTATGCTGCTAGGTTTCCTCGAAGCGTGATACGCGGCGTACGCGAGGAAGGTAATCAGCAAAACGTGGTAACGGTACACGGTAATGCTCCAATCCTTTCCCCTAGCTCTCTTAATCAACGCGATTCCCGGCGGATTCCTCCTGCTATTATTCCCCCCCATACTGCTGCTGCTCCCACCTGCCATTTTTTCCGAGCGTCGAAAATTCTTCACATCAAAACCACGTCCTTCACTACGGCGATCGGGATCGCAATATGGGACATATAATCAGCCACCACGACCGACAAGTCCATAGCCTCTCCAATCAGGATGGAATTTGGTTTACTGTTGTTGTTAATAATATATCGATTATTATGATGATAATAATGATGATTATGAAGATGATAATCTCGATCGCAATGGTAATGGCAATGGCAATGGCAATCCAAATTGGTGGTGAGTTCCGTATGGATGAAGGAGATCTGGATGGTTGGGGGACGAGGGGTCCGTCGGAGGTGACGAGTACTGAGCGAGGCATGAACGTGGAAAACCCATATAGAGTTGAATGTTTCCACGTAGCCGAGGGACGTACGGATGGGCGGTTGCGTGGGACACGTGGCGCGCGCCGCTACACTTGCGAGGCCTATTGTGGGCTCCACTCAATTTCTAACGGATATACGTAAACTCTATAAAATTATTTGGACTATTAATATATGTAGTAAACAGCCACTATTTTCTTAACAACCAATACATATTATTATTCCATAACCTATTATATTTGATTTTTATAGTTTTATATATTATTTCTACCTTTTTTTTGTTTTAGACACTGTAAATTTATTTCATTATTAATTAAAAAAATTCAACAAATCGATATTAATTATTAATTTTTATTCAATACTTATTACAATCAATTTATTTTAAATTTTAACTAAATTTTATTATTTTCTATAAAATATTTATTTTTTTAATGAAAAGAGTAACTATTTTTTTAAAAAAATTGGCACTAGTAATTTTATTTTATTTTATTAAATATCAACTTTTAACTAAGAATTTAAAAGTAATACTAAAATTTTTAAAAATTGTGATATTTGATGCAAATATTTTTTTTAAAAAAATATTGATTATAATACTAAGAACTTCTAAAAATATGAATATAAATAAAGTTTTAATTATGTATTTTCATTCTCTACAACAAAATTCTTGTCAGATTAAAACATATTCAATTATTTTAATATTATTATAATTAATAATTATTAAAGAAAAATGTAAAAACGAAACTATAAAATTAATGATAATAGTAGCTATTTTAGCTTTAATTGACTGGTAGATTTTGGGTTCGCTCTTGAGTGGGTATGTATATGATAAAAATATATGTAAGTTATATCAATGGAACGGTTGTATCAAAAGAAATATATTTTTCTTAGGAAATTATAGATACAAATATAATGCATTTGGTAAAATTGTATTTGTTGTTGTGGTTATTGCATTTGTGCTGCAGAATATTGCTACCAAGGAACGCCCCATGGCATCACATGTGGTTGTGCTCTTTTGTGATTTAAAATAAATTTGAAATGAAATACTCCTCTCTCCATTTATAAGGTTTACATTTACTTTTGACTCGGTATTTTAGAAATAATAGTATTTTAATTATAGTGAGTAGCTAAAAATAGTATAATAATACTTTTGCCCTTACTTTTTTTGTGTAAAAATAATTATGTGATGTAAAGTAAGGGTATTTGTGAAAAAGTAAGATATTTAATGAAATGTTAACTTTGTAATTGGACGTCCCAAAATAGAAATATGTAAACATTGTAAGTGTACGGAGGGAGTATCTATTTTGATTTAAAATAATAAAAGAAGAACTACATAGTATAATGTGCAAGTACGAAACTATGCTATGTTTATATAACTTATTTTCACTCATTTCATATTATTTATTTTTCAAAAAACATCATATCAAATACATTTTTTCTCTCGTAAAATATCAAATCAAATACTAATTTTTTTATTTTTCAAACTTCCAAAATTTCAAAAATCTCTAAAAACTTAGATCTAAACAATTTTTTTAGATCATTTGTGTGATTACATGAAGCAAGACTCATTCTTTAATTAGATATATTCTCTCTATTAGTATCTAGTCACATTTATTTTTTGCAGAATTGTACTTAACATTAAAAATATTCTTATATTTATATAATTTTTTTTACAAATATTTTCTATTAGTATTATAAGACATTAATGAAAATATTTTTGCAATTTTTTCTTAATTTATATTTACGTTTTGCTATAATGATTAATATTTAAAGATCAACACACAGACGAAAAATAGTACTCCCTCCGTCCCAAACACTCTGCAACATTTCCTTTTTGGTACGTCCCAAACACCATGCAATATTTCCAAAATAGGAAATAATTAATTATACTTAATCTCTACCCCACACTTTATCCCCTCACGTCATCCTAATAAAAAAAATAAAATATATATTTATCTCTCCATCACATTACCTAATTTATAAATTATCTTACTTAATACTACCCATCTAAAAACCAGTATCAAAAGCAAATATTGCACTTTGTTTTGGACGTATTCTAAATTTTTATTATTTAAATTTTTAATTTTTCAAAAACAAAATAAAATATATATTTTTTTACAAAAATATCTTATTATACATTATTTTAATAGCAAATTTAAATTAAAAATTCCAAAATCCCATCAAATAAACCACACAAGTAATGTACAAGCCCACTTTATACATCCGGGTAGACCCGAGACCTGATCCAGACCCGAACCATTTATTTGCGGTCAGGTCAAAATATTCGAATGTCGGGTCTGGGTCGAATCGGATATTGTATACTTACTTCGGTTTCGGGCCGATTCTAGGTCCTAGAGTGGACCCTATCCGCGACCCAATTAATAAATTATTAATATATTAATTATATATAAAAAAATAATTAAAATTATATTAAAAATATATTTTTAGTTTTATTTATTTATCTTTCATTATTTTATCTTAATAATTTGAGTTAAATATATAAATTTTAATCTACTATCTGTTCAGGTTTAGGGTTCAATGTTAAGTTAAATTTTTTAAAAATTGTAATTTTTTTTTTTTTGATATGTCAGATCTTGTCGGATATTGTTCGGATCAGATCCAGATAATCGGGTCCAATTTAATTCTCGGGTATATAGGATCCAAACATTTGTATATTCTAATCGAATTCCGGTTAGATCCAACCCATACACGATCTATTAGAATCTACAAGAATATCAAAAAAATTGCAGTGAGAAATGCTCGTAAGTTTTTTAAGTTTACTTTATTTTATTTATATGTAAGTTTTTTAAGTTTAGTTTATTTTATTTATATTTTACTACTACATCCGTTCAACATACTGTGTTGTGTCTGTAGGGATGTAATTAGTAGATAATTAAAAATATATTAGTAAAAATAATTATTCGATAATATAAATAATTATAAATTAATATTAAGATGACTAATTAGTTTAATTAAAATTTTAAAAAAAATAAAATTAAAAGTTTAAAACGGACATTAAAGTGTGTAATTATTTTTTTTAAAAAAAAATGATTTGATACGTGGAACGGACATAACTGCAAGATATGCGGGAGTGAGGGAGTATTATTTATACAATGATATATTGATATATTTTTAAAAAATTTAAATTTTAAAAAATAAATAATTATGTATATTTTGTTGGATTGAAAGAAAAAGAGAATAATGTGAAAGAAAAAGATTATAAGGCGAATATGAAGATATATATATATGCTGATGGCCTAAACACAATCTGAGGCGGCTGCGCATGCTGCATCTTTGTTGGTAGGGGCGAGGCGCGGACGGTCTTCCTGAACCCAAAAATCAACTCTTCCGTACAACTGGATTTTGCCGAGCCAAACCACACTTGCCAAAAATCACTTCTCCAAATCGGTTGCCGCCATGGCTACGCACCTCTTGCCCACCACTCGAATGTCTCTAAGCCCCAACCTAGTTTCAGCTCCGCCTTCTCGCAGACGCTTTTTGTCCACGAATTTTATGTCTCCATACGTCGGGGGAAGCTTGTCAGGCGACTTTTCGGGTCGCAAGATCCGGCCCGATTCCCTGAACCCTTCTTCCTTATCTACTCGTAAAGGCAAGCGCGGGGTTGTTACAATGGTATGCTCTTGCTTCATAGGCGCGCATGTGTGTTAGTGTGCGGAAATGTTTGGTCACTTTTGTATGAGTATGTTCTATGTTGGTTAAAATTGGGTAATTCGACTTGTTGTTTGTGAACATTGGAGCTCACTGTGGCGATATTTTTTGTTGCACACTACCTGAACTCTGGTCGACTATCAATTCAAATCTCAAACAATCATACTGTCAAATTCTGGAGGAGATAACTGGTTGAAATGAAAATTTAGCTTTGAATAGATTGATAGAGGCCTCCTGTAAATATCATGTTTTGGCCAGAAGGCGGAGGCTATATAGGTCTCCTTGGTTTGTTGTGCCTTGAGATTTTTTAGTGGTTCAGGATCAGATTACGAAGGTATTGAGCTTTTCCACGGAGAGGCTGTGTGATGTATTTAAATGGGGATTAAAGGTCATGTAAATTTCGTTCTAAGACAAGCCTTCGTAGACATTGTTGAACTAGATCCTTCTGTTCATCTGAATTAGTTGTTGGATGAATTGTGTTTTCTTGGATTTTGTTGATATGTCTTGACTGCTATATGTATATATATACATACATATATATATATCACAATTTGCATCCTGTCCTTGTATCTTTCAGTAACTGGGGGAAGTGGTAACCAGCTTTCTAGTTTGAACTTGTCTACTTGATTATCTTTAGTTATGGGTCTCGAACCATTTTAGAATTCCGTTTGAGTTCTTGAACCTGCTGCTATGCACTTGATAGGCAGCAAATTAGGAGCACCTTAACTTGTCAATATATATATTTTTTTCTCCATCATTGTCATGGAAATACATTATCATATGTTGGGAAAATATAATCACTATTATGTACACATGTAATGATCACTGCGTACTAGGGATGTTAATATCTTGAAGGAATCATTGTGGAATTGGTATTCATGCTACCATTGTTTTCCTTGAAATTTTTTATAGAATGAGATGAATTAAGTGTTGTATTAGATTGCATATTTCTGAAGTATATTAGAAGTTTCAATTTGGGGAGGAGCCATGAGCTCAAATTTGAACCTCCCATAATTTTAAATTTGTGCCTAATTGTCACCTCTATGATATTTGCTTTTCGTTTACAGGTTATTCCCTTCTCAAAGGGAAGTGCCTGGGAGCAACCTCCACCAGATTTAGCATCCTACTTGTACAAGAATCGAATTGTGTATTTGGGAATGTCCCTAGTTCCATCCGTTACAGAATTAATTCTAGCTGAATTTCTTTACCTTCAATATGAAGACGAGGAAAAGCCAATATACCTTTACATAAATTCCACTGGGACGACCAAGGTTATACCCAACCATTTTACATCTCCTTTTTGAGCTATAGTTTGCTAATTTAGTTTCTCAGGGAATATCAATCAAGAATCAAACAACTTAACAGCACATGCACATATCCCTACATAAAATACTAATGCAGATTCCTATTTATGTATTTTCTGCAATTCTAACTAGTAAATTTCCTATTTCAATTAAGTGGTGCCAGCAGGAAGTGCTTGTTATAACTGCAGTTACTAGAATTAAATTGGACATGTACCTGCTTGAGGGGAAAAACAATTTCCTTTAGTCTTCTGTTGCGGTGATTACATGAAAGGATTCTAGTATCACATCTTAACTTGAATGAATTTGGCGTAATCTAACCAGAATATGAAGAGTTGGTTGTAATTGACCTTGAATATTATGTTTATCTTATGAGCATGTTTAAATCTATGTATTTGTGCATAAGTACAAGTTTAAGTTGAAAATGTCCGTTCTTTTTATTGTGATATGTAGATTATTGATCTATATGTATTTATATGAATATATATGCACATATAGAGCAAGGAATAGGTAGGATTACAATAAAAATCTTCATCGGTTGTTGGAAAAGTATATTGTGATTTTTTTGACTTATGTTTTGACACGTGTTTTAAAATAGTTCTAGTAAGTTTTAACAATCCATATAGCTTTGCAAATATATTTAAAAGCCTTCCCCACTGATATTATTTCAATACATGTAATCCAATATGACGGGGGTGGCATGCATAAGATCAAATTTTCGACAGCATCAATGATGTTTTTGAATGAAGTTTAGGGGTACACTGAGTGTTTGACCATAAAATGGCTTACACTTTCCAAGTCTGTTTATATCCACTCACTACATTATTTCTTCCTTCTTGACCTAATTCCGGAGAAATTGCCACCATATTTCTAGCTTATTGATTTTTAATTTTCTTGTGATATTTTGCTATGCAGGGTGAGAAAAAGTTGGGCTACGAAACAGAAGCCTTTGCAATATATGACGTTATGAGGTTATAAATACTTAACTTTCATAAGCATGCATTTTTTTGTTTATTTTTGTAACTTCAGATAGTTGATGAAGAATTAGTACATTAAATATCATGTAGGAAAAAACAACTTTGCCCGTCCCATAATATGGCTTAGTTGCATCCCAGCAAGGCATAATTATATGCTCTCACTGAAACTACTACTAAACTAACAAAGTAAATACACCGTGGAACAACTACTTGACATGAGCCTTCAAGCTCATGTATCTGTGTCGGTCAAACCTTCTATTTCAATTTCTTCAACTAGTTCTGATCTAGAAGATGCTGGAGATTGAAATAACAAAGTCAGGAAAACTATTAGAAACACGAGCCATAAGCACTAGATTCATTTATGGGTTCAGATCATGGCATATTCCCCTACACTCTTTGTTCCTTTATCTTGTTCTGATCTGGCCTGCCGGATCTTACTGAAGTTGTCAACTTCAGTTCCTTGTGGTATGCTAATAATTTTAAGTTTTTAGTTATGTGAAGCCGCCTATCTTTACCCTGTGCGTCGGCAATGCATGGGGAGAAGCAGCACTGCTGCTAGCTGCTGGTGCAAAGGGGAATCGTTCTGCCTTACCCTCGTCAACAATCATGATAAAACAGGTTCTTTACTTTCCAAGTATTTCCATTAGTTTTCCCTTTTTTTTTCCCACTCTGTCGTACTTTACTTCTTATACGATTTACTGGTGCAAATTCCCAGCCAATTGCCAGGTTTCAGGGCCAAGCAACTGATGTGGAGCTTATGCGAAAAGAGATTAGAAATGTTAAGGATGAGTTGGTATGTTAACAATCTTTCAATAACTTCATGCATTTCTAATCATGGAGTTTATTATCGTACTGAAGAGTTATCTTGCTTGCATTTTGTCCCCATCTACATGCCGTATTATGTTAGTGATTTCTTATGCACTAAATGTTAGACATGTCTCTGAAGATTCCGAAAGATTTATGAAGTCATGGTTTTTATATTTCTCTCTTTCTCACTCACTCATCTATAGGAATCATTTTATTTTTCAATATGCTGCTGAACATATATTAAGAACATCAACACATCAATTTTTGAAAGGTTAAACTCTATGCCAAAAATTTTGGGAAAACTACCGAGGAGATTGAAGCAGACATAAGACGTCCAAAGTATTTTAGTCCCAGCGAGGCTGTTGAATATGGAATTATCGACAAGGTAAGCAATTGAAAACCTAACACTTTCATGTAGCCCTAAAATGTAACGTAATGACAATTTTCCTTTCAATCCCAAGGTTCTTTACAACGAGAGGACCAGTGAGGACAGAGGAGTCATGTCAGATCTCAAGAAGGCACAGCTCATATGAAGGAGACTGAACTCAAATCAAATCAAAAACTGTTAACCACCATAGCAGGATGCTTACAATCCTCATCTGCACACCGATGAATAACCACGAAAATATTGTGGTCGTGTCAAGAAGCATGTTGTAATGGCAACTCAGGTAAAGTGCATATTCTTTTGCTGCAATGATCATCAATAGTTCACTGTTATGCCGTACTAATGTGTATCTTTTAAACGGATAACTTCAATATGCAATTCCATTTTGAGATGCTTTGCGTCGTTTCTATGGATCTAGTGTCTCTAAACATTGGCTCGAGGCATTTTCTTTTGCTAGCTTATTGCTAACTTATCTTTTCAGAAATGTCAGACTTGGTGTGGGATTTATAGCTCCTAACAAAGTAACAAACACAATGGCTGTGTTCTTTTAATATTTAAGGTGTGTTTGTTTCAGAGTTTAGATTATGAGTTGAGATTTGAATATTAAAAATTTTATATTGGAATAGTGATATAATGGGATATAAATAGGTGTTGATTTGATGTTTTGAATGTAAAATTTTTTTAGTATAATATAAAAAATGAAATATAAGTGTTTGATTTAATATTTTGGGAAGGAAAATTGATGAATAGTGGAGATCTTTGGAAATCTTCCAAACAAATACACCCTAATGAGTATTGTTAGGGTGTGTTTGTTTGGGGATTGGATTTTAAATACACTGTTCATTTCATTTTTTTTTTCCAAAAATATCAAATCAAATATTTATTTTTTATATTATATTAAAAATCAATTTTACATTCAAAATATAACATCAAAAGTATATTTATATCAAATCATACAACTATTCAAATTCAAATTTTTTATTATTCAAATCTTAATTAGGATGTGTTTGTTTGAGGGATTAGATTTTCAATCCACTGTTCGTCCCATTTTTTTTCCTCCAAAAACATCAAATCAAACACCTATTTTATTTTTTATATTATACTAAAAGTTAATTTTACATTTAAGACATCACATCAATACCTATTTATATCACATCATACAATTATTCCAATTTAAAATTTTTACTATTCAAATCTCAATTCAAAATCCAAACTCCCAAACAAACAATCTTCTTCGTGAAATTCATCATAACCCTTGGATGAGTGAGTTTGGGTATTTAAGAAGTATTGCCGTTTTTAAAAAATTTTTTGTTGTTTAATTTTTTTGTACGTTACTGTCTAAATTTATAGATACGTGTTGTTATGTATGTATGTATTAGTATTAAATGTATTGATTAATGGTACAACTATTGTTGTTGCTTAATTGCGCATTCATTATTGTTGAAATTATTAACCATTGGAACGACCATCATTTTAGTCTTATGATTTGTCTCTAATTTTGAAATTTGAATTTTCATTTATATGACTGTACTATTCAACCTATAAGTGTGTTTTCATTTTATTTCTACGTATTTAATATACTAATTTTTATTAAATATATTGTGTGTATTTACCTAGACATTTTTTTTTACTATAATTCCGGATGAAAACATATTATCACTTATGGTTATTGAAATATTCCTTGAAAAGTTTATTTATTTATTTATTTATTATTTTCAATCTTAAAACATTCCAAAAATATCTCAATATACAAACGAACACAGAAATCTTAGTAGGATGATATCAACTTTAATATCAATAATAAAAGAAAGCTTTATTATCAATAATTAACATGAATGAAAGTCTTAAAAATAAAATATAATTTAATTGTGCAACAAAAGTAATGTATTTAACTATATTTTATTTTGATTTAAGATATTATGTTACAATATATTTTTAATTTAAAACATGAAATCAAATAATAATAATAATAGTAAGTTATGTTCAACAATATTGGTGTGTTCTTTAAAAAAAAAGAAAGAAAGAAATATATGTATTTTTTCAAAAAATTAATATATCATATATATTTGTTATTTTTATATTTTCTATACAATTTTTTATATTTCTTATAAAAGAAAATTATTTGAAGCTATTTTACAAAATAAATCGCAATTCCCCAAGCACAACTCTATTAAATAAAGTCAACCCCTTATAGATCAAACTGTGAGATATCCCTCTCTTAAGAGTTAGGTCCGGGTTCATTCCTGGGTGAATGTGTGTATGATAAAAGAAAAAAAATTCTATTAAATAAAAGTTATTTCCATCATTTATTAAAAATAATAATTTTACTCTAAAAAAATAATATATAATTCCATAGTCCTAATGCTGACAATTTTCAAAATGTTCCACCTCTATTTTATTATATTCATAATGCTTGATTTTTGTAATCGATTTACCTGCTTCATCTTTTTGTCTTTTGTTTATGTATTATTTTCATTTTTAAATGGCTTAAAAAATAAACCGTGAAGTTGCGTTGCATAAAATGAAATAAAAGAATTAGGGATAAGACCAAAACCAAACATACCTATAATACTAATTAAATAATAAAATAATTTAATTAATATTATCATTAATAATAATATTTTGACAGCTCATCGCATGGATCTCAAACCGTAATCCAGCGATGCATTGTATGTATATAAATGTGGCTGTATTTATATATGTATGTATATATTTATTCTCCGTCTCTCTCTCCATCTCTTTCTCTCTCTCTCGCTTTTCACACAGACACTCTCTCTCACTCTTCCTTTCCGGTCGTTGTCATCATCATCAGCAGCATCAACTTGGGCTTCCCCACCACATCACCATTTTTCCAACTACAGTCAAATTTATTGCCCTAAAACACCGGACAGCGGACTAATCTAATCAGTACTAATCGGGAGGATAGAGGCTGGGGGTGAGGACTCGAGGAATCATCAATCTTTGCTGCCGAGGGCGCTGAATTGAAGCGAGTTCGGGATAGGCAATCGGATTTCTGCCAGTGTAAGTTTGTATTTATGTGCTGTGTGGGTGTGTGTTTCAATTTTGTGTGCTTGTGATGTAACTGAATTGTTATTCTCGCGACTATGGCGCGGACAGTTACTTAGAATCGAATCCGTGTGCATTCTGGTATTTATTGCTTGCGATTTTGTCATTGTCGTTAATCCGCATTCGGTGGTGCGTTGCTTGTGTGGATGGCGGTGTGTTGTTAGTTTCGATCAATGGCCGCCAACCGTTCTCAAGTTATAAACTGCTCTTATGGAAGTTCGGTTGAGTGATCAAGCTGCACCTCTGTTAAAATTGTAGAATTGGTGAGTGATTGCTGTTGCGATGGGGCTAATACTTGATGCATTTACTGGCAGGAGATGGTCGGGATAACTTTACGAGGCTACTGATGCATTTAATGATATAGGAAGGTCATTGGGGATGATCTGTGGAGCAATCCTAACTTGATGATTCTCCATTGGCTCCATTGATCCTGAAGAATAGGGATAATCTTGACTATCTGTGATGGTCTTGACTCATTTATGTATTAGTCGATACCTTTAACTCGGTGGCCATGCGTCAGCTGAAAAGCCAGTATCTAATCTGCTGGTGTATTTTTTGTGGTTATCCATTGGTGTATGCATTGTCTCATGGTTTGGGATGGACTGAAGAGCATGCGCCAAATTTAAAGGTACTGGATGATCATCTAAGGGTTGGAACTGAATCTAGCTTTTTAAGCCTCGAAGATGATTTTGTTACATGTGAGGACTTGAAGGGTGTCGGATCATTTGATACGACCTGTTTGCTAAATTCAAACCTGCACAGGGATACTGATATATATGTTGTTGGTGCTGGAAACCTAGAGATACTTCCTAATGTAGAGATTGCTTGTCCGGTAGCAGGCTGTACAATAAGTTTCAATTTATCTGGCAATGTTAAAGTTGGACATAATGCATCTGTTGTGGCTGGAACTGTTGTTTTCTCTGCATTCAGTCTGACTATGGGACCAAACTCTACCCTGAATACTACATCATTGGCTGGATCACCGCCTCCTCAGACTAGTGGAACGCCTGTTGGGTTTGAGGGATCTGGTGGGGGGCATGGTGGACGAGGGGCATCTTGCTTAAAGAAAAATCACACAAGCTATTGGGGTGGTGATGTTTATGCATGGACTACCTTGTCTAATCCCCAGGCTTATGGTAGTAGTGGCGGTGGCACGTCTGAGGAGCACAAACTTGGGGGTAGTGGTGGTGGAATAGTTTTACTTTCTGTCAATGACATTCTCTATATAAATGGATCTGTATCTGCTGATGGTGGAGATGGTGGAACATTAGGTGGCGGGGGATCTGGTGGAAGTATCGTAGTACAAGCTCAAAAATTGTGAGTAAACTTCTTGATTGGGCTCCATCTTATATGTTGCTACAACTTTTCATGTATCATACTTATGTGCCGAAATGAAGACATCAAAATATATTGGAAATAAACTTAAACAAACTGCACCAATTGTAACAAACTGCACCAAACTTCTTTTACCCTCTACTTTTTTAATGGTTTTATATGGATCTATAAAGCTCATCTAATAATTAGGTCAATTTTTATGGATTGTATTTATTTTCATGAGATATGACTATCAATTGATACGTTAATATGTTTGAAACAACTTTTATGAGTTTAATTTTTAAGCGTGAAACAACTTTTATGAGCTTAATTTTAAGCGTGAAACATATCAAAGACGCCTGAAATTATCTTTTCTCCGATGATTTCTTTAGCTCGTAAGAAATAAATAATGTTTAAATTTGGATTAATTTTTGTGATTTTAAGACTATTGGCAAGGCTGGTATATGTGAAATGGTGCGTAAATAAAATTGGTGATTGTCCACCAAGCTTGAACTTATGGTCAGTATAAAATTTTAAGGTAAGAATCCCTATTTTTCATGAGGATGGATTAATGATATTACCTCCTGGGTTTATATCTTCCTATTTGATTGAAAATTGTATACTCTTGTAAAGTTGTCCTCTTAATGAATTATGCATTATAAACAAATAAAACCTTTTATGCTATATTCGGTTATTTTATTGTGCTTTAAATCCTCCAGTGCATGCATATATGCGCACACGCAAACAAACTGAAAACATCTTGTCAATTATAGGATGTACAGTTCTTTCAATTACCTGCCCCAGAAAGTTCCATAGATAGATTGTAAAATATGATAGTGGCATGTTTGGTCACTTCGAAATATAAAGGTATTTTATTGTTTGTATGGTCACCATGTTTACTAAATTAGGAAATGAATGGATTGATTGTGGATAGTCCAAAATAATAAAATGGATAGATTATTATTGCACTTGTACTAATGTTTAGTTTAGTGGGATATGTTTCTAATATTCTTCACAAAAATAAATAAATAAAACAGAAGTCATCTACACAGTGTTTTAAGTGTTTTTGTGTTGCATAGTCAAAATATATGTGTATTAGTTTTTTTACTATTTATGTGTGTTACAAATTAATTATGAATGCTTCTATAGCCTCATTAAAATTATATGTTACGAATTTATTACTGAATCTACTGCTTGTAATATATATGAATTCTAATGCAAAACTATCTTGTTAATGTACAATTGATAAAAAAAAAAAAAAAAAAAAAGATTAATTTTTGGCAATTTTGATACTAGATCATTCATTTCCATTCATCAGCCATGAAAACTATATTAAGTAAAGTAAATAAGCCCGAGTCTTAGCTATTCTATGTCCTTAATATTCATGGCATTATTTATATCAACCTCAGTGTGCTCTGAATGTATTCCATTATCACTTTATTCCAGTCATGCATATCAGCTACTGAAATGGGTAAATCGAGACAAGAAAGTAGGGAAAGGATCTTGGATTTTTTATGGTGCAAAAGCAGAGCAGAGGTTTTGCTTATAGCAACTCTGTTTATTTTCTTTCTTTTTAGTTCTTGTGAATTTATTATTTTTAGTATGTGATACACTAAAATGCTGTTGGATGAAGAAAAGTTTCACATGCAACTTCTTTGTCCACCAATTATATGTAAGATAATAGGATGCAATTGGCTGGTGCAATAGATTAAGTTTATTAGAAGTCTAACTAAATTCTGTTTGTAGATACTCACGTTGGTTATAAACATATCAAATAAAAGAAGAGTAATGGTTTACAAATCACTGTTACTTTTCATGTTAGATATCAATTGACTTGCACTTGATTTCCCGATGACCTCTTATTTCCTTTAGATTCACCCCTAGAAGTGGTAATAACTTCTCATTCACTAAACAGGGTGTGTGAGGAGGCGAGGAACTCTCTTTTTTGTTCTAGAATTTTCTATATATAGAGTTTCTCTTCACTTGTATCTGTGTTAATGCTTCCCTTCTTGTAACCTATGTTTCTTTTGTGAAACCATATACTATTTTCTCTCCAAAAACATTTTTGCTGTTAGATGAGGGATAACAAATCCTTACAAATATTAATATTATATAAAACTTAAATCACTCAAGATCCTGAAATCTAGGTTGAATTAGTTATGCTATATAGTCATTGTAAGTACGTAAATGTATTTTCATACTAAAAAAATTCTAGATCTTTGAAGCTTGTGTGTTACGATATATTTTTTAAAACTCATTGTTTCAACAATGAATCTGGGCGTATGGAACACACCTATGACACAGGGATATGCATTGTGCTTTGAGGACCTTCAGTGATTTTGTGCGAATCTGCAAGTTTTTTTAAGATATCAATCACATTATGGTTGATTTGTGTTAGAAATCTTCTTTTGTCCTGAATTGTGTTTTGTGATATGTTAGTGTTATGTTTCTAAAGATTGTTTGTTAGGGTAATTTCCAGTTGGAATATGAACTACTCGATAATACACATTGTAAGTTTCAGCAATGTCATTTTACTGGACAGGAGGGGCTTCGGTGTCATAAGTGCTGCTGGTGGCAAAGGATGGGGTGGAGGTGGGGGTGGAAGAATATCACTGAATTGTTACAGCAAGCAAGGAGATATAAAAGTCACAGTGCATGGTTAGTTCTGAACATAACACCTAATGTTTTTGTTGAGGCACGTGATGTATGTATTTACATATTCTAAGAACCTCACGTTTGTTTGCGTGAGCAGCTCTGTGCAATGACATCAGTTAGTTGATATATTGATGGTACATAATGTAAATAACTATGCTACAACTTAAAATTTTTTCTAGGATCTATATGTGCTCCTAAAATTCCTGCTAAACAATTTGTGCGCACTACTTACTACTGGCCTGCAGTGATTTATATTATTCATGCCAATGTTTTTCTAATGTTGTGTTTAAAGATTGAAACTTTTGCAGACAATCTATTGCTTTAAGTCTTGCATGAATTGTCATATCCGTTCTAATGATATGTTGCATATTTGTATGTTTGTTATTGTACCATTGCTCAATGAAATAAAAGACAACTTGGCGCAGGGTTGCACTGTCACTATGTTATTTTAAGGGCAACTTCCATGCTGCCCGTTTAACTTAAGCTGTTTGTAAGAGCTACACCCATTCTTGAACCCTTTCCAATTCATCACATTAAATAAAGTCCACTTATATTTCAATTTTCAAGTTTTGCATCCATTATTTTGTCATATTGTGCCAATGCTAAAATAGATGGAAAAACAAGAAAAAGAAAACTTAATGTGTTCCATTCACATATTGGTCTGTGGAATGTGGATGATGAGTTTCAATCTGATTGACTACCTTAGAAGAAAAAGTTACTGATAGAAACAAGATAAGTAGATAAGATTAAGCAAACGATACCAATTATTTGTCCACTCAAATGGAATCAACTGTTTTCCCCAAAGCCCCAAGGCTATTTTATTTCCAAGATTCAGAATCATTGTCTAAGACCCCAGCTACTCCTTAAATACTATTCCCTCCGTCCAATAAAATTATGTAGGTTTGGTTGCAACGGAGACTCAAATGAGATAGGTAAAAAGTAAAGTGAGGTATTATAAGAAATTTATTAAATGATTGATAAAAAAAGTAGTTGTATAAGTAGAAAAATTAGTGGCACATTGGTTATTATTTGTTAAAGTAAGGATAATAAAATTGTGAATGGATAAAGTTTATTATAAAATGGATTGTGCATAAGTTTAACGGATGACCAAAAAATGAATAGTGATATAATATTGACGGATGGAAGGAGTGCTACTTAAACCCTACTTACTAAAATTAGAATAAGTCCATAAAATAAATAAAATAAACCCAACTCAAAATAATTAAACTCTAACCAAATAAATATTAAAAGGCTGATAAAAAAGACTTGATAAATAAAAGCCCGGAAGCAAGCCTAAGCCCGTCCCCGCCTCCGGTCTTTTGTCCCTGTTCCCTATCAGTTAGTTATATAGATCATAATAAGGTCTGCTCCTCACTAACTTTTCTCAGTTCATGAGCAATGCCTACTAGTTTGTAGTTTAGAATCTCAATGCATTTTGCTAAGATGCCAATACCTAGCAGTTTGAAATTTCAAATCTGTGTGTATGTGCTCTGGGCTACAGCACTAGTAATTACATTAGCCAAAATATGAATATTCTGTACTCATGCTTTTCACACGAGACAGCAGGATATGATTAATTAAGACTTTGCATTGTATATGCAACCATTAATTCCTCTTGAAAATATTTGGTATGAGGTTGAGAAACAGATTATTTTGTATAGGCACAAAATGAAATTCAAATAAAAGTAAACCTTATTATTAATCTTACAGATATTTTTTCTTCTCTTTTTGGCAGGTGGCTTCAGTTTGGGATGTTCGTGGAATGCTGGAGCTGCTGGTACTTACTTTGATGCATATGTACTAAGTTTACGTGTTGGCAATGACAATTTGACGACGGAAACAGAAACTCCATTGCTTGATTTTTCTATTAGCCGTCCATGGACAAATGTTTATGTGGAGAATAACGCAAAAGTTTTGGTGCCTCTCCTATGGACTAGAGTTCAGGTCCAGAATGATCTTCTCTTTTTCTCCCTGAACTTGTAATCGTTTCCTGGTCTGCTGTTTCTACTTTAATCTTGTAAAAAGTTGAATTGTTCCATGCACGTGGTTTACATTTTAGAATAGCATTTGGCATTGGTTACTTGAATTCTTTGTAATCAAGAAGCTATGATGTCTATTTAATTTATATCTATTTTTACAAGCTTTTCTTATATATAATAAAAAAGTATTATTGACTTATAAGCATGAGCAAGGTCTCATAACCGTACTCTGGCAGAAGAATTTTGATTTTTGAAGGAGGACATTCTTTTAGCTTATTTCCATGGTTCCCGATAAGTTTATTTTAGTAAATCTCTCATAAGATATTCTTGTTGTGCAAAATTTGTTTTCTTTTCCTCTTTGATTTAAAATCAAAAGATTTAAATATTAAAAAGCCCCAAGGGGATACAATAGGAATGAGGGTAGGAGTTAGAGGTGAAACACTTCAAACCTAGATATTAAAAGGAGAACATCTACTAGGGCAAAGATAGTGAAACTTAGAGCCAAGTAATAATATTTGTCCTCTCCACCCTTAATATGTGACATTTTGATAATTTAGTTCTTTTTTTTACTTTTTTTTTCCCCATAATTTATTACCAATGTCATTTCATATTGAGCCAAAAAAAAAAAAAAAAAGATTCACCTTATCCTTAAGAAATATTATTCTAGTGTTGCATCCTGTATATCCAAATTTTAAGATACATTAGTAACCTCATCTTATTTTAACATTTTTTAGGTTTGATGCTTTGACATGGAGTTTTATAAAGGGTGTGTTTGTAATGCTTTGTTAGCCAAGGTTGATGGCCTTGAAAGATGCTTGTCTGTTTATTTGATAGAATTACAATAGATAGTGCTGTAGGCTCAATGTAAAATATCACAGTTATGAGCTTTCATTTTATTTTTTTAATATATTTTTTTTCTAGGATGATAATTTTTGGTATTTTTGAATTGTAGGTCAGAGGCCAGATAAGCTTGTCTTTTAGAAGCAGCATTATTTTTGGATTGTCTGATTTTCCAGTCTCAGAATTTGAACTTGTTGCTGAGGAACTTCTGATGAGTGATTCTGTTATTAAGGTAAAAAGTGTTATTGTGTTTAGCCAATTGCAACATATAAAGTTAACTTGTTAAGGGCTAGCAAGATGAGATGGTCTTGAATGTGAATGTGAAAATAGAAATCAATGCCCAATATCAAATAGGACCAATATTTATATATATATATATATATATTCTTCATGGCTGTCTTTATAACTCAGCTTTCATGTATCAATTATTTCATAATATTTCCATTACTGAGGAGCCTTCATTCCATGTTCCAAATGGCTTAAAAGTGTTCTCCTATGTGTACGATAAAAAAATGCCTCAGGACTTTCTGTATATATTGAGGGGAATGGCGGTGTATTAACATTGAGTATGCTCGTCAATCTAAAGTTTCAGAATTAGTGACATATGAAGTGCTTTGGATTCTTTTCTTCTAAGAGGAAAAGTTACAGTCTAAATACTAGTTTTGTGATCATATAGATCTAATTCTTTCGCGCTAACAACTGGGGTTGCATTTTGTATTTGTAAAGGTTTATGGAGCTTTTAGAGTATCTGTCAAGATGTTACTCATGTTGAATTCCAAAATTGAAGTTGACGGTGGAGGAAATGCTGATGTGGATACTTCCATCTTTGAAATTAGGAATCTTGTTGTCCTTAAGGTAATATCAAATGATTACTGAATGTGAGTGGAAATGTTGTTTCTCTATATTTTACTGCTTTATTTTTCTGATACACCTACCTTATCTTGATTTTGGTTGCAGGAAAACTCTGTCATCAGTTCAAATGCAAACATGGCTCTATATGGGCAGGGACTTTTGATGCTATCTGGTCAGGGTGATGCAATCAAAGGCCAGAGACTTTCGCTGTCACTATTTTATAATATTACTGTAAGATATGAAGTCTTCCATTCTCATTCTTGCTTGCTATCTTTTTTGAAGTGAAGATGCATGAGCCAAAGGTCCACTTTTCTGTTGTTATCTTGCTACTTTACAGAAGCTCTCTACATCTTTTGACAGTTAACACTACAGTAATTATGTGCATAAAATGGTTGTAGTTGTGCTACAATTATTTTTTACTATCGGTCCATGCAACTATATTGTGTCCTTAAATTATGTATATTTTCTCAGAGAACTTCTACAACTGGGTACTTGAAATGTAGAAACCATAAAGTAAACCCATTTTCTAAATGGAACTTCTTTTCCCCCTTCAAGAATATGTTACCATAAGAAGGCTATTTGCATTCTGTGTTTTGCCACTTTCTCCTTTCTGGTGATTATTACCAATATTTCTTGATAAAATACATGCATTTTACGAGAACCTAACTACAGGATACTACATCTCATGTGCTAGGTTGGCCCAGGCTCATTACTTCAAGCTCCATTGGACGATGATGACAGTAAAAACTCGTAGGAAGCCTCATGAATATAAGATCATTTGGCTCTAATTTGATTATTTTTTTGCACTGTCTTATCTCATCCTCATTAATTCATCTGAACTAGGATTACCAAATCCCTTTGTGAGAGTCCAACATGCCCAATGGATCTGATAATTCCACCAGATGATTGTCATGTCAATTACACACTGTCTTTCACCATGCAAGTAAGTTACATGTCTTCTATTGTGCTTATGTTTGGTTAAATCAAATGAAGAATAACTTCCCAAATTCTATTTGGGATGAGAAGTGCAATCTACATATACAAACATGACCATTTGTGGTTTAATCATGTGAAGATTTGCTTTTACAGTTGATTTTGTTATGCAATTTTTAACCTAGAAACTTATTAATGAAAATGAAAATGAAATAAGTGGGTTAATTATGTATACTTGAAGAAAAATAGTATAGACTAACTCATAAGATGACATTGAACGGTGTAAACCAAATGTGTGTGTTTAACATGATAAAGAGGAAATAGCCTTTTTCCCATGTACTTTGAATTACCAGAACCCTTGCATTCATACTCGAGATCAAGAGTGATCAAAAGACACCATTTCTAATTTATGGAAGTGTCAGTGTTTTGCCTTTTTGTAAGCCTGTGTCTTTATTGTGAATGAATGCATGCTTGAATGAATTTTGTTGGTGAAGTTTACATGCAAGTATGTAACTCTGATAGATAAATTTGGGAGATAAACATATTAATAATTTTAGATCCTACCACGCATGATTAATATATGATTTGAGAGATAGTTGTGTTATATGCTCTTGTCAACATGGTAGAGCTTACGATAGAAAAAGGATACTGCATGGATGGTTAGGCATCTGGACATTTGTCATTGCCCAATCGTTTTGTGCTTCCCCATTTGTTGAACACAGTTGTAATTTTATGATCTTTCAATTATTGCTGAGTGTTATTTCTTGAACAGGTTTGCCGTGTTGAGGATATTGTGATAAATGGAGTTATCAAAGGAAGTGTTATTCACATACACAGAGCAAGGAATGTAATTATAGACACTCATGGCATGATAACTGCATCAGAATTAGGTATATACATGTACATCTTTGTTTACATATGTGTCATAGGGCATTTTGTGTACTCAATGCTTTTGCTTGTATGGAACTTCAATGTTTCTCACTCTACAAACCATGGTTTGGGGAAACTTTTTAGCTTTTACGGCATGGTATGCTTTACAGGATGCAGAACTGGTGTAGGCAGGGGAAATTACTCTAATGGAGCTGGTGCTGGTGCTGGACATGGAGGGCGAGGGGGATCTGGAATTTTCAATGGGATTATGAGTGAAGGTGGCCCCAGATATGGAAGTGCTGATCTTCCTTGTGAGTTGGGAAGTGGAACTGAGGGCCCGAATCGATCTAATGGATATGTATCTGGTGGTGGAATGATAGGTTTGCGTTGAAAACTGCCTTATTTTGTTTGAGAAAAAAGAAAAAGTGATTGCAATTTTCCCTTATGTTTTTTTTTTTTGTCAAAATCTAAGACTTCAAAATAATCACTAAAAGCTTCAATATGTAATTGAGTTTATCATGCAAACCTTTTTTGCAAGTTAGGAACAGACCCCTACTTGCAATGCTATCATGTACATCTGAATCCACATGTTAAATAGCAGATGGCTAGTAGTCCTCAGTACAATATTGTTGTTTGTATTATCAGACATGTACAATGTTGAGTGTAAATTTGAAAGATGTTGGACAAAGTTGTTTTATAGGAATGCATTCTATGTTTCAAACAATTAAGAAGGCATTAGTGTTTCAATTTTGATAGATAAAAGAGTATATTTGGGCGGTATCTAGTTTTAGAAGATAAGTGTTTGTAATTGCACTAGGAATAGTTCTATTACTCTGACTTAAGATATAAAATCCTAAATGGTTATGATGTTTCTCTGTGTTGACATGCTTGTTGCATTATTTTCTCTTTCTGGTAGTTCTTCACGTGTTCAATACATGGACATGATTGGGCATCACTCTAATTTTGAATTGAGATATCATGAATTTGTTATAAATTCAGAACACTTGCCAATGAATTGAAATCAAATAACTTAACCATCTAATTCTCTCATTTCCTTCTGTGTTCAACTTATTTTTTGAAATTTTATATGGCATTAACACCGGTTTCAGTCTTCACATTTTGTATGCTTTTTAATAGCATGTGTTGCATATTGTTTTCCACTGAATTGAAGTGAAGAAATGAACATGCCATATCAATAGCTATATAATGCTAATGAATCTCAAAATTAAGCAATATCAATTAACAATATAACGGAAATTTTGGCGTGGGAACGAAATATACATGAAAGGAAAGTGATAACTCTGATAGAAAAGATTGAAAATGAAAGAATAAAGTTAATGTTGACTCAGTAACAAAGGTTTTTTTTTTTTTTTATTCGTTTCAATAAGGAAATACTAAAATAAAAAGGACGCTATTATAAAGTGTCAGCTTTTTTGGCATATTCTCTCTTTCTCTCTCATACTTGTTACATGCATTTATCATAAAAATATTTATTGATGCTCAATCGTTCTGGTTGTAATTTACAATTTTGATATGTTTGTGCCTAAAGAAAATTTATATCCAACACATTTGTTTGCTCATTTTAATTTTTTGAAATAGAATATTAATGTTATAATAAATTTGAAAATGCACAAAAACTATCAACTTATGTACAAATGTGTTTTATGTTTATAGTAACAAAACTGAACCACAATTATACATAATCCTGTTTCCCGTTTTCATTTTATCAGTGATTGGATCAATTCAATGGCCACTTCTAAGTCTGAATAACTACGGGGTCATTCGTGCTGATGGCCAGAGTTGTCGCAAACCAACTCGCAATAGTAATGGTACTCTAATAGGTGCACTTGGTGGAGGTTCTGGTGGGACTATCCTGTTGTTTCTTCAAGCTCTTACACTGGCAGAGAATTCTTCTTTGTCTGTTGATGGGGGCTTTGGTGGTTCTTTGGGTGGTGGGGGTGGTGGAGGTGGAAGAATTCATTTTCATTGGTCCAACATAGCTCAGGGGGCTGAATACGCCCCACTTGCATTTGTTAATGGTGACATCAACTTCAGGTGTGCCACTGTTTATAACGATACTTTATTAGATACTTGCCCTCTAGTTAAATGAAAGTTTGGACGAATTTTTGCTGGAATATCATGCTTTATTGACATTCTGTGTATTTTTATGAACGTGGTTTTGTTTATGTTAGTGCTATTGTGGAGTATTGTACATGTAAGGTTGACTTTGTTTTCATGTAATGTGTGATATTTTCTATCTCCTAGGTTTTCTTGATGTTTCAAGACTTTTAGCATTTAAAATAGCTAGGGAAGAGAATTCATATGATGTAGACTGTGAATGCTTCTTCAATGATTTCTTCCATATGCTCTTTAAGCAATTAAAGGAAAAGCAGGCATTTTTCATACAAAGCTTACGGATTATTATCATAATCTTTGCTGTATGTGCAGTGGAGGTGCTGGAGGTGGAGATGGTCTCCGTGGAGAGAAAGGAACAGTTACTGGCAAAAAGTGCCCCAAAGGCCTCTATGGTACATTCTGTACAGTATGTTCTTTGTTCGCTCTATCTTCTATATCACTTTGATCAGCATTTTGTGCATGTTAATTTTGTTATGCGCTATGTCATTTCACATGCATTATAATCTTTTTCTTTCAAGTCTTGCTTAAGAAGGTATATAGATGAGGATGAGCTTTTGCACTCTTGTTGATGTCAAACAAGAAGTATAATGCCTACTGCCTATATATAAATGTCAAATTGTTGCATGTTTGGTTACAGAGGTATTTGCAAAAGCTCCTCAATATTGAAAAGAAGTATACATCTTCAGCACATCAACATTTTAATGGCATAACTACTGTAGGCAAGCATATAGCCTTGACATCATGGATTTTGATTGTTTTTTATTATATTATAGGAATGTCCTGTTGGTACATATAAAGACGATGAAGGATCTGATCCAAATCTTTGTAAATCGTGTTCCCTTGAACGCCTTCCCATTCGTGCTGATTTTATATATGTAAGAGGTATTGTGATTCATATGATGCAAATTTTCATTGAATCTCTCACCCCTTCCCCCCTCCTCCTTTTTCATTCTCTGTATGTGTGTGTGTATTATATATTGTTCGCTCATGAAGGGATTGAGTCTTGCCTGTTTTCTTATACCTGGGGCCAATTTCTGCAGGTGGAGTGACTGATTCAAATTGCCCTTACAGATGTTTATCTGACAAATACAGGATGCCAAAATGCTACACCCCATTTGAAGAGTTGATATACACATTTGGTGGCCCCTGGCCTTTTTCCTTTATGCTTTTGTGCATTGTAGTGCTCCTAGCACTAATATTAAGTACTCTCAGAATAAAATTGATGGGCTCAGGATACTCTTATGAAAGGGCAAATTCTATTGAGCACCATGATGCTCAACGTTTTCCTTATCTCCTTTCCTTATCTGAGGTGAGCACATTCATTTTTTGTCACTATAGCTACTGCTGTAGTGGAATCTGATTCTTTTCTGTATTTCTTTCTTTTCAAGGTTCGTGGTGCCAAAATCGATGAAACTCAGAGTCATGTACATAGGATGTATTTTATGGGTCCTAATACCTTCAGAGAACCGTGGCATCTCCCTTACTCACCACCTGCTGCAATTTTAGAGATTGTGTAAGTATAACTGTTTGGTTGTAAATTTCTATGCAAGTGCAAATGGATGTCTTTGCATGCTACAGCATATCATGTTTCAAGTGGTATTATTACTTAATTGGTTTTTTTTCCTTCTGGCTTAACTCTTCCATTCTGTTTCCACTAATATGAGCCATTTAAAAGGCATAGTGTTATTAGATGCCTATGTTGACCTTGAACATCTGAGGATAATAAATAAAATATATAATAAGCGCCTCCCTTACGTTCCTTTTCCAGTAAATGGTAATGTGAAGATCTATTTTCCTGATAAAGTTCTTTTAGGTTTGAGATGTTATAACATAATTATCTCTAGTCACCTGCTTTTGTGTTCTTGCACTGCAGGTATGAAGATGCTTTCAATAGATTTATTGATGAGATAAACTCTGTTGCTGCTTATGAATGGTGGGAGGGGTCAGTCCATAGCATACTTTCAGTCCTTGCATATCCTTGCGCCTGGTCATGGAAGCAATGGCGTAGGAGAAAAAAAATTCATCGTCTTCAGGAATTTGTCAAGTCTGAATATGATCATTCATGTTTGCGTTCTTGCAGATCTCGTGCTTTATACAAAGGAATGAAGGTAGCTTATGTTATAAAAACCTACAAGTTGTCTTTTACAAACATTTTGTTTTCAATTTATAATCCTTCTTAACATGAAAACCCTAACCAACGAACATGTCTATCAAACATTCTTCTGTCAATTTTCTTAACTTGTCCCCTCATACATGGATATCAACACATATAATATATTAAAAAAAGTATATATTTGTAAATCATAAGCTTTAGTATTGTTCCTGAAAAATATCATATCATCTAGCTATTAGATATAGTTATATCACATATAATAAAAGCTCATGTAGTTATCAATTTTTTACATTCACACCAAAAGCACACCCTTTGACACTCAAAGATGAAATGAATCTTTCTAAACCTATTTCTCAGTTAGTTATATGGTGCACTGTACATTTTTCGTATAATTGTTTAAAGCATGTGTAGTGTATGTGTGAAATCTTATCCAGCTGCATGCAAGTACTTTTGGTCACTGTAAGTTTTATTTCTATTGACAAATGGCTATTATGTAATTTATTGTTAGCGAAAAAAAACATGACAGCATCTTTGGCTATCTAAAATTCTGAAAGGTGATTTATGGTCTGTTGAATATGGAAATTCACAGATCCAGGATTTCTGTTGTCAGGATCTGCTTAAATGCTCTTTAGACTACTAACTAAAAAAAGGCATAACAAAAGTTTGGACTTAACTATAGTTACATTTCTTTCTGAAAGAAAATTTACAGTCACCTTTCAATTCCTTACTCACCAATATATAAGAAATTATATGAGAAATTAACAGCGTGCTGAACTGCAGACATGATAAGTAGCTCACAAAAATCCATATAAGCACTTTCTCTTAATTAGACCATGTGCAGCTCAAAAGAAGTGAAAACGAGATGATCTTACACTTTTCAGCTTTTTTAAATTGGAAACTGCCATATTCTAATATTTGATATACTTCTGATCTACCCTATGATGTGTGGACTGTGGACAATATGTCAGGTTGGAGCAACACCTGACTTGATGGTTTCCTATATTGATTTTTTCCTTGGTGGTGATGAGAAACGTCTGGACATGGTAACCATCATGAAGAAGAGATTTCCCATGAGAATTATATTTGGCGGAGATGGAAGTTATATGGCTCCTTATAATCTCTATAGTGATGCATTATTAACTAATCTCATTGCCCAGGTAACCAAAGTTAAGCTTCTATTTATTTATTGGAGACTAAAATGCTTTTGTTCGTGAATATAGTTTAGAATATGGAGATTTAGGAAGTGACAGGTGCCACCACTGTGTAAATCTAGGCCAAAATGAAACAACGTAGAAAACTCAAACTAAGAACATTATAGCCATGCAACCAAGTCCACTCTGTTCCTAGCCTCGTAGTTTGCGAGCAAGTCAGCAAATCTACTTGTATATCTAGGAATGTGCCGGGAAGTGGTATTGTGGTATCTAAAGATAAAGTGAAATTTGTTTATTTCAAAAGTGAGTATCCATTGGAGTGAAGCACCTTGAATCCAGCCAAGAGAAATTGTGGAGTTGCACTCCCCAACTTTTCATTGTATCAACAATTTGTTAAACTTTTATTGTGTTAAACATTTCAAAGTTTACAATACTTTGGTCCCACATGTACTCATTAGAGAGAGAACCTTATTAATTGTAGTTCATTTATATGGTTTTAGCATGTACCTTCAACTGTATGGAATCGCTTGGTGGCTGGTTTAAATGCTCATTTGAGGACAGTGAGACATGGATCCATCCGGACATCTTTGGTTCCTGTTATCAATTGGCTGACAACTCATGGAAACCCCCAACTTGAGTTTCATGGGGCAAAAGTTGAACTCGGATGGTTCCAGGCCACATCTAGTGGATATTATCAGTTGGGTATTTTAGTGGTGACAGGTGACTATACTCTTCATGATCTTCATCACGCTGATTATTTGGACGACAGCGACTCATCATCAAGGTAACACGTCATGATTATAAATTGTTTTGTAATAGACTGTAATGCTTCAAAACCTCCATGGAACTAGTGTAATAGATTAAATTCCAATACATTGGTGTGTTATTCACTAGTTGATATCATGTTATCACATTGATGAGGGGTGTTTCTCCAGGTGTTCTTTTAGTTTCTTCACTGATTTTCTTAAGATTTGAAAAGCTTTTAGAAGAATTATCACAGAACTGCCTGCATGATACCTTCTGAATGTGAAACATTTAGGCTTTATAGTTTATACACATTGAGAATGACTGAGCTGAAGTTCTCTCTTTTCCGTTGCAATCCTAATAGATGTTTCCTCTAGTGGTAATGAAGATGCTTTTTTGTAGATTAGTGCCAGGTCCTTTTTTTTAACTTTAAAGTTCATCTGTCAAAGAAGAGGGTTAATAGTTATTTATTCTTGAAGCTGCCTTAGTATCTCACCACTTATGTCACTGCTGAAATCTTCAGGAACTTTGATGCATCACCAAATAGTGCCAAGCAAGCAGACGAAAGTCAGGGTAACACAAGCCATTTATTAACCCGCAAAAAGATCACCGGGGGCTTCAATGGTGGTATTATCAATGAAGCTACTTTGAAATTCCTAAGCTATAAAAAGGACTTCCTCTTCCCATTGTCTCTATTGTTGCTCAATACTCGCCCTGTTGGCCGACAGGTACTTGAAATTGTTTGATATGCTTGTTGGAACAATGCTCACCATTTAATGTTTGTCTACTGTATTCCAGGACACCATTCAGCTTTTGATTACTATCATGCTCTTGGCAGACCTCTTCGTCACTCTGCTTATGCTATTTCTGTTCTACTGGATATCACTTGGAGCCTTTCTTGCTGTGCTACTTATACTTCCTCTATCACTGCTCTGTCCATTTCCAGCAGGCTTGAATTCTTTATTCACCAATGGACCTCGAAGAGCTTCACTTGCTCGTATTTATGCACTGTGGAATGCTAGCTCCATCTCTAATATAGTAAGTGACATAATTCATTAATATAAACATCTTATGTGTTATAGTGTCACCAATGCTCTACACAAGTGATAATTTCATAGCTTGATTTTGACTGAGTTATGAAACAGGGTGGCTTTTGTGACTAACCATCAGTAGTTATTAGATCGTTTCTCTATTGATCCAAGTTCTGGATGCAGAGTGGTCTTCTCTATGCAAAAACAAGTTGTAGATCTTTTATTTCTTTAGTGATAGCTAATGAGAGAGATTACGCATGCCACAAAGATGCGTCATTATTTTTTATGTTGGGAAGCTGCAAGTCATTATTTTTACGTTGGGAAGCTGCGATTGATTTTTGACGGCTTCCTTTTTATGAAACTGCAGGTTGTGGCGTTTATCTGTGGCCTACTTCATTATGTTATTACATCCTTGAAGACCCCAGACAAAGAAACTGTTTGGCATCCGAGGTGAGTTCCATTACTTGTATTTCTAGAAACACATTTCAAAAGGAAATCAGTTGAGGTAGCCAATTGGGATGGGGGTGATCTCTTCATAAATAATTTTAACAGCTTTGATTATCTAGGTATATTCAAGTAAAACAGTATTACAAATACTGGGTTCACACTTGGAACAATTTACTGGCACAGTTTTGAAACTGTTTCGAGCAAACTTGTTAACACTTGTTACTCGTGAACCTGTTCTAATACCAGGGAAGATGACAAGTGGTGGATTCTTCCTACCATTCTGCTGTTATTCAAGGCGGTTCAAGCTAGATTCGTTGATTGGAACATAGCAAATCTAGAAGTAAAAGACTTTTCTCTATTCAGTCCTGATCCCGACACATTCTGGGCCTATGAATCTGTTTCGTGATAAAAAGGATTTGCTGGATTTAATGGGCAGTGAAACCAATATCAGCAATGTACATATATATATATATATATACATATCTGCAGAAGCATCAGAGGTACATTTTATGCATGCTTTATCTGTGCATAGGTTTGATTTTCACAGTAAATTTGTAGAGCATACAATAGGGAATGTCATTGTGTGTTTGATTATATATTAGTGAGAGAGTGCATTTTTGGTTGGCGTTGGGTGCAGTTTTTAGCCCTACAGTCATCTTTTATCCTCGTTTAATTTTAGTCATTCCAAGAGTTATTTATCTTCCATAGACACTGAATTCTTCATCCATTTTTTTATTACGTATATACACTAAGGTTAAGTGAGAAATGCCATGCAGTGTGTTTAATGGGATGATGTTACATATACCATCAGTATTATGAAGGGCGTCTTAATGAATTTAACACAATGTAAAAAATTATATAAATTACTAAAAACATGAAATGTTCGAATTTCTGGAAGTTTGATGGGTTGTATTCCAATCAGTTGGCATTATCATTACACTGAGATTTAAAAGCTCACCTTCATCGACAGAGAGATTGAGAACAACCCAGCACAGGCATCGGGCACTACAACATATTCCATACAGCAGTTGCAGAAAGAATATCACGCTGCACGGGAAGTATATGACAAAGCAAATCAATATGCAGCATATGACAAAGCAAATCAATACAGGACCGAATCTAGAAATGTTCCAGTCTCACTTTACTTGTTTTACCATAATATAATTAAACAAGCTTCCCATGAGGGTTAATTTTTTGCATTAAGAACTCAAAATCTTCCATGGCACAATTTATGAAATTAAAGAGGCCAACTGTAATGACACAAGTTCTTTAAAAATCTGAAAATGCCTGTATATGCACAGAGAGACTAACCAAAACTAAAGAATCTGGACTTTACCAGCCTGCATCTTCTTCTGAATGTTTGAAGAAGAATTCATAGCTTCCTTCAACTTTGATGCACTTCCATCGCCTCGTCTTTTCTTTTCCAAAGAGCCTAGAGAACCTTCAACTGTGGATACACAAAAATATCGATTTAAAAGGCACGATCTAGAGCCTATTTATACATGTTTATTTTAGTGAATATGGATAAATCAGGCTGCTATCACAACACTTGCTGATAAATGGAAGATAAAATATATAGGAACATAACGTTTCCATGTAGTGATGTTGAGCACAACCATATTACGAATCACTTGCCAATCTCGATACTTCTTCACCACCCAATCTTTCTTCACACCATAATTAGCCTATGGCATGGTATGACTTTTCATATAAGGAGATTCTTAGATTCTCTATCATCTTAACGCAAGGAAGCAATATAAAATAATTTGATTTATTCCATTCAAATCCCCGAGAAGTCGAACACTTCCTTTGTTAGTCATGCAAATCACTACTTCTTTTACTAGTTTTTGGAACGCAGTGTACTCTGACCCATTGATCAGCAGAAACACAACTAATTTCATAATGTTGGAACAAACTTGATCAGCATTAGTCAACTCTGTGATGATGACTTACATGTGAAGTTCACGAAAAATTCATGTGAAGTATATGATGTTGAACAAAAATGCGTGATGACTGGAGTTCGATCAAAGAACAATTGTTACTTGCTGGAATATCCTCAAATAGAAGCATTGATATTGAAAGATGATGAATCTATGCTGTGGCACACCAGATTGGATCATGTCAATCCACAAAATATGTCGAGGATTAGCAAAATTGGAGCTATTAGAGGATTACCCAAATTTTCAAAGATTCCAAGTACTACTTGTGGTGACTGTGCGAGAGGAAAACAGAAGAGAGTTGTACATTCCTCATCCTCATTGAAACAATGTTTCAGCAGCAATTGTCTGGAGCTGCTGCATAGGGATCTCATGGGTCTAGTCGATGTCTGCAGCCTTGGAGGAAAGAAGTACATCTTGTCTGTGTGGATGACTTTTCAAGATATACATGGGTTGATTTCTTACGTGAGAGAAGTGATGCCTTTAATGCCTTTGAAAAATTGAGTACAAGGCTTATGAATGAGATGTTATCAAAGATTGACAGGTTGAGAACTGATCATAGAAAGGAGTTTGAGAATCGGAGGTTTGCTGAATTCTGTAATGGATTGGGAATTAAGCATGAATTTTCTGCCCCAAAGACTCCACAACAAAACGGAGTGGTGGAAAGAAATAATCGAACCCTACAGGAAATGGCAAGGCCAAGGGAGTTGCCAAATATTTGTGGGCTGAAGCTATTAGCACAGCTTGCTATGTGATTAATCGAGTTTATCTCATACCCCACACAGAAAAGACAGCGTATGAAATCTGGACCGGAAAGAAACCAAATGTTTTTTCTTACTTTCATACATTTGGGTGTAAGTGCTACATCATGAAAGACAGAGATCAACTACATAAGTTTGATGCTAGATCAGATGAAAGTATATTCTTGGGATACTCTCTGAATTCCAGAGCTTACAGAGTTTAACAATCGAACTAAGAAAGTGATGGAATCTGTAAATGTGATATTCGATGATGCCCTCTCGGAAAAGAAATCCATACATCCGAGTGAGATGATGAAACCACTTCCACCAAAGTAATTCAGAGTCATCCAGATGTTCAGAATGTTCCTCAGACTTAGAATGATGTACCTCAGACTGGTGACAGTGCTGCTGCAGAGAGCTCAGTCAGATTTGATTGGTCAGAACCAGAGTGTTCAACCGATATTACCACAACCAACTTACAACCTGCGGAGAGTGAATCTGATGCTGAAGCAAGAAGATATGGTTCCAGAGTTCCACAAAACCATCTAATTGATGCAGTCATTGGTGATCCAAAAGGAGAAAGATTAACTCGAGGTAAACAAATTAATTTTAAGAATCTGTCTTGTATGAACTGCTTTGTTTCAACAGATGAGCCGAAGTCAATAGTTGAAGCTCTCAAGGATGAATATTGGATTAATGCAATGCAAGACGAGTTGAATCAGTTCACAAGGAATCGAGTTTGGTACTTGGTTGAGAGGCCAACTAATGTGAATGTTATTGGAACGAAGTGGATCTTCAAGAATAAATCAGATGAAAAAGGGAATATCATCAGAAATAAGGCAAGGTTAGTTGCACAGGGGTACACACGGATTGAAGGCATTGACTACGATGAAACATTTGCTCCTGTTGCACGCATTGAAGCAGTGAGATTACTGGTATCTATTGCATGTTCCTTGGGATTTACTCTCTACCAGATGGACGTCAAGACAACATTTTTGAATGGATGGATTAAATAAGAGATTTATGTTGAACAACCAAAGGGATTCGAGGATCCTTTCCATCCAGATCATGTGTACTGAGGAAAGCGCTTTATGGTCTTAAGCAAGCACCAAGAGCCTGGTACGAGAGGCTGTCCAATTTTCTGCTGGAAAAGAAGTATGTTCGAGGATCAACAGACAAGACCCTGTTTATCAAGCTGCAAGGAAAAGATCTTATGATTGCACAAGTATATGTAGATGATATCGTGTTTGGCTCAACTGCTGAATCCTTGAAGAACGAATTTGTGAGATTCATGGAAGCTGAATTTGAGATGAGTATGATTGGTCAGCTCAATTTCTTTCTGGGATTATAAGTTAAGCAGCCAGCAGATGGAATTTTCCTGATTCAATCGAAGTATGCTCAGAATATAATTGAGAAATTTGGCCTTTGTGATTCAAAGGTTGTTCGAACTCCTTTAGGACAACATGATAACCTGTCCAAGGATGATGATGGGAAGATTGTTATCAGAAACTGTACAGAAATATAATCGGGAGCTTGTTGTATCTGACTGCTAGTCGCCTAGATATTTCTTTCAGTGTTGGCGTATGTGCAAGGTTCCAATCAGCTCCTAAGGAATCTCATCTGAAGGCTACAAAGAGAATTCTCAGATATGTCAAAGGAACAGCTGAACTTGGGCTGTGGTACTCGAACAGATCTAGTCTTGATCTTATTGGATTCATATTGGTGGATGTTTCTACATCGGGGACAAAATTGTGAGTTGGAGTTTGAAGAAACAAAATTCAATTGCACTATCCACTGCTGAGGCTGAGTACATTGCTGTAGGGAGCTGTTGTGCTCAATTGTTATGGATTCGACAGATGCTGCATGATTATGGTATTGTTCAAGATTCATTCACTCTATTCTGTGACAACACAAGTGCTATTATTATCTCCAAGAATCCAGTTCAACATGGGAGGACAAAGCATATCAACATTCGATATCATTTCATTCGAGACTTGGTAGAAAATGGGATGTGTAATATGCAACACATTAGAACAGTAGAACAGAAAGCAGACATTCTCACAAAGCCTCTGGATGGAGACCGATTCGAGAAGTTAAGGAGAAACTTGTGTATGTGTTCATGCCCTCTCTGAATTTCTCTGCATAAGGCAAAAAAAATTAATCATCTCCAATTTCTTTTGATCTCATTGATGAATATTGGAGATATATATATATATAAATATATATATAAAGGGAGAAATTATATATTCTGGAAATTGGATTTTGGGAATCGCGTGATGAGGATCATTACAGAAAAGGGATTTAAGTTGCAGAAGTTGAAGTGACTTAAAGTTGTCAGTATTGCTGCAGCTGCTGTGTCAAGACAGCCTTTTGGGGAATTGACTGACTAAGGGGGAGAATTTTTAATTGAAAATTCAAAAGCGTGTTTAAACATTTTCTCTTCTCTGGCTATTTATTTGGCCGTTGTTGTTTGTGGAGATAACCTCCTTCAGTCACAAGTTTTCTCTCGTTCTTTTCTCTCTTGCGAAAAATCATGGCTCGAACCCGTTTTGGGAATGTTCGTCGCGCTGAAGCCGAAGGTGGTAGACGTGGGCGTGTTGGCACTCGAGGCAGAGGTCGTGGTCGACGACGTGAAACTGTCAGTCCCTCTCCTGACCCCATAGAGGTTTCTAAATCGATTAATAATCCTCCGCCACTGGACGAAGGAAATCTGAAGGAAGCAGAGGATGATGCTGCTGCACAAGCCCTACAGTCCTTGAATGAACAATTGAAGGTTCCAGAGGAAAATGTTTCTCCAGATGAAGGAATCATCACTGGAAATGAAGTTGCTACTGCGGTTAAAGATGAGCCTCCAACTATTGCTGGCGAAGCCCCTATTGAAGAACTCGAAAAGGCTGTTGAGGAGCCCATGGTTACCGAAGAAGTTCAAACTGCTGGTGATGCTGAGGAAGCTGTTCCACAACATGTTGCTGAACAAGAGGTCCCTAACACACAGATGGATGAAGTGGTTTCTGAAGAAGAAGCTCCTGTGGAACATGTTGTTCCTGGTGTTGAGATAGGAGGTACAAATCTTGAGCCTCGTTATTCTTCTTCTGAAGATCTTGATGCTCTCATTGACAGGGTCGTGAGTCAACTTCCTTCTCAAGATAAGGAGTCATCTTCTGAAACGTCTGGACCAGACACAATCCCTGAATCTCCGTTACCTGGAAAAATGGTAGAAGGTAGTGATAAGGTTGTTATGACACCAGAACAACAACCATCTACAGAACAGGCCGCGGAGGCTGAATTTATTCCATCCTCGTCGAAGAGACAACCTTCCAAAAAGAGGAAGTTGTCTGCTGGTGTTCCAGGGCCTTTTCGAAAAAGGCTCAAACGATCTTTTTCAAAGAAAGTCATAAAGGGAAAGAAGTCCAAAACTCGTCAGAAGGCTCTCGGATCTCATTCCATTACTGCGGAACAAGCTATGGATACTACACACTTTGATAATCTTGCTGAAGTGTTTGAGTACGACATTCTCGCAAACCGAAAATTTGTGGTTGAAAAGCAGTTCACAAGCAATGAGCATTTGGAGGTTAGTTTTTCCGATTATCTGCGCCGGAAAGGATTGTTTAACTGGGCTGTCAAACTGCAGAGGTACTGTCCAAAATTGGTCAAGGAGTTTTACGCTAACCTTTATGTCTTAGATGAAGACTCTCTCTGGTTTCACAAAGCCTATGTGCGTGGCAAAGTTTTTAAGCTAAGCCCGCGCGTCATAAACAAGTTGTTAAAACTCCCTCTTGAAAATCCTGAAGAGCTACCCTCTGATCTACTGAAAGACTCCACGAGAAATGTTGCCCTGTTCTTGTCCTCACGCAAGTCAGTGGACTTTGGTAGAAAAGGACTCAGTGCCACTGAGTTCTCACTGAGATTTCAATGTCTCTTCCGTCTCTGCGCCAAGAACATTTATCCAACCAGCAATGGAACCAGTATTGGTTCTGAAATAGGTAAACTAATGTATTCCATCGATTGCTTTTGTCCTAACATTAACTTTAGTTTTGTTGTGATGTCAAAAATGATCAAGTTCTCACGAGGCCAGAAGTCTGAAAATCATCCGTGCTGTTAACCTTATGCCGAAAATTGGTTCGTTTCTTGCTGACGAAGGGGAGGACCCTTCGCTTGTCTAATCTGCTCATTTGTACCCTTTTTGGCATCTGCTCTCGAGGGGGAGAGATGTGCATGGTGTTTTTGTGTTTGCTGCTCTGCTACTATTATCTGTTTGCCATTGACTATTCCATTTGCCAGGCTGCCTGTAGCCTGTGTTTGTTTTTTGCTGGCCTGTAACAAATTGATGAACTTACTGCTGATTTTGTTTGGATTGATTGGTTTGGTGTGGGAATGCTTCTCCTGCACATTGGGCGAAGTCCCATATGCCAAAAAGGGGGAGAATGTTGGAACAATATTTTTCTCCAACTTTTTTGGCATATGGTTCTTCATGTTTTTCCTCAGCTGCCTTTCTTTGTTTCCATTCAGGTTGCTGCAACACTGCTGGGTCTGTTCTTCTCGATTTGGGAAGCTTAGAAGAGACAAAAAGAATGGATATTTTTTGTGGTCAACCTTTGACAGACTTCATGCAGTGACACATCATTCTATTTTCGTGCAAAGGGTTTTAATTGAGTTTGTCCTGCATGCTTTGTTTGGCTGCTTCTTGGTAAGTCGTGTGGGAAGTTTGGTTGTTGTATGGGTTTAGTGAGAGAACTGTAGTGAGAGAAAGTAAGTTAAATCCTCTCAACCCCAACTCTTCCCTTCTCCATGCATTGAGAGAGTGCTAGACACATTTACCTGCCGGAGACCTCGTCGGAGGAAGGAGAGATTGGAAATCCGATCAGGAGATTCATCCAAAGTCTGAGCAACCCTGCTATCTGTTAGTTATCAGTATGAGTTTGTGACAACTTATGCCTGTGGAGGAATTTTCCTAGGTGATTTGCATTATAGTATGGGTTAAAGGAGTTTTGGGCTGTTTTTGTTCATAATCACCTTTGATTAGTGAACTTCTCCTGGATTGGAATCCCCCGGATGTAAGTTGGTTATAACCGAACCGGGTTACCAAATATCTTGTCTTTTATTGCTTTGGATATTGCACTTATTTCGTTGACAATATGCTGTTACAACTGTGATATAACCACGCTTCGGGAGTTGGCCCATTTGGATAAGTGGACGAGGATTTATTGGAGTAGCACTTATTCCATCCCAACACATAACTTGTATGTAATTTAATTTCTATGATTTATCAATAATTTCCCAATTAAACAACATTACATAATGCAGAATTATTTTCATAGACAACTAGATCAGGATTGAAACTGCTCAACAGCTTCCTTAGCTACAACTAACCATGCATCTTATGTGAAATATTGTTCGTACCTTGCCACTCCCAAACCACCTTGGTTTCACCCTTCACTAACTTTGGGTACTGATCTACACGAGAATCTTCCTGAACCAGGTCCTCAACCTAGAACCGAAGACAGCATGCACAGATTTAAAATATATATATATATATATATATATGTTATTTGTGAATTATGCGAGTGTAAGCATGCACAAGCTGGCCACAATACAGTGGAATATCAAAAGACCCAAAAAAGAAATTTTCTGTCAATAACTGGGAAAGGATAAAAAAGGGTAAGAGCAAACCATGTGTTGATATATAGCTCAATGCAAATCAAATTAAATTTTAGGTTTGAAAACACACCCACATTTTATGGGAAGGGTGACAATACCTTTCTCCATAGAGAAGGGTGCCTCCTTTCCTTGGGAGAGAGCAGATGATCCCGCAGCCAGGATGCAGCCACCCAGGGTGGCTCGCCTTCACCACTTCTTCGGGAAATCAATGGCTTCTCTTCAAGTATATCACATACCTAAAAGCTAAATTATCAGCATATCTTTATACAGGAAAATATATTACAGCTAGCGAGTCTTAGGCAAATTGCAATCATTAAATTCAGCATATCTTGGCAGCAATAAATAACACCAAGCTTGAGAAACTTCAACCTACAATGGTAACATTACTTATTCCATGACATTAATAAGTGAAAAATATATTTAATCCAGTTGTGGTTTTCGAAAATAATTATAAAAAAATATATGTATCAGAGTTACAATATGCATTACATTTATTAAATCGGTGCCCAAGAATAGAAATACTAAAGTATTACAAACTACTCTTCAAGATGGAGCTGAAGAGAAAATCAGTCACAAGGAACCAGGGATGCACATAAGAGATTGACCATTATTCTTTACACGATAAAGTAAAGAAATAGCCAATAGGTGCCCCACCATCACTTTCCAACATAATCTATTGTCACACAAATGGAATGCAGAATGTTTTGCAAAGCATCAGGCAAGAAGTCTCAGTCCAGAGGTGAGTTGAGGCCCTGATTCTCTGATTTTTCAGAATTTTAGCACCTAGTTCTATGTTCACATCCTAGTTTCTCTGTTTTCTCTTGTCTTCTCTAGGTTCTGTCTTCTATGTTGTATTTTCTACTATCTTATTGCTTATAAAATAACTTTGCTGTAAAAAAACCAAAACTGTGTGATTAATAAGGGATACTTCTCTTCAAAACTATGAAGGTACTATAAATGATTGCACCCCCAAGCTTAATCACTGAGAAAGGAACAAACAAGATGCTGGATCACTTTAATATTTCGTCATGATAGAGTTCAACTCTGCTCTTTTCAAATCTCAGCCTCATGACATCTTTCCTAGCTAAAGTTTATACTATCAACTTTCTTGTTTCATATTTGATTTTATACCATGAGATGTGAGTCTTGAAGAATAATATATAGTTTCCATGAAATGGCAAGATAAGAAAACTTGTTTCAGAAACCATGGCAATGGTGATTAACATCCGCTAATGAACGCATATATGGCAAAGTAGGGAAGTATACCTCATGGTAAATCTGTTCAACTCTGAGAGAAAATTGATGCCTTCGGTAAGCCTTGAATGATATCAGGATGCATCCTACAAACTATGAAGTTCATTATTTTCCTACAAGCTTCAACAACATGCTTTACAATGGAATACTGATAAGGTATTAGAGCAGCAACATACAGTATATAACTAAATACCAATGCACAAGATGACACTACAAGTATGACATGCTTGATAATCCAGTGTCGAACAGCACATGAGAGTGGTTTGTAATGGTTTGCAAGCATCTCTGGACACTTGAACTCGTCAGTACTGATCTCCGTGTATGAAAAGCATAAAGGAGAAGAAATTAATACTAATCTTGAAGAAAAAAGAACATATTTAAATAATTGGACAACATTTGGCATACCCATGCTCATTTGTCCTCGTCTCCAATAGATTATGTATGTCTCCCATGGCTCTTTCTTTTAAAACCATATAAAAGTCCTTGTCCAGTCCGCGATACTCATCCAAGGTATTATTCCATAGCTCATCCTCTGCAATCTAAAACATAGAACTAAAAGTTCAACAAAAAAACGACTATATTACATTATGCAGATCATAATCAATTGAAGAAGAGTGGAAAATTATATCTGTCACAAACCCAACATTTTCCAGTTCCACTGCACAGAAACTGAGCATATGCTTCACACACAACAACTTCTATCCATTTTGTCTGAAATGCTATCAGCATTAGTAGTGTTAGACTATATTCAACCTAAAAAGAAGTATAGAGAAATAGCCGTAAAAGTGGAAAGTAAGAGTTCGCACAAGTTTTTTAACTCCTTCATTGATGTCCCTATCTTCGATACATAGCTTCCCGTGCTTCTTATATCCATATCGACACTTCAACTTGCCCTCATTACATATGCCATTTATCGGACAGGGTTCGCATGAATCTGAAGCAACAGAAGCAATTAAAAAACTGCAGTAAGAGTAATGTAGAATATGAACTTCCAGGACAAAGAAACTGTATTGTAGCAGAGAAGTACCTAATGAAATAGGTGTAGTTGTGGACTATGTTTCACATAGAAATTTAGTGTAGGTTGGAATTTTCTAATGTTTCTCAAAAATTTTCCCTCCAAAAAATTCAAATCAACATATTCTTTAATGTTATACTAAAAATTAATTTTTACCTTCAAAACATCATATATCCAAAATCCAAACCCCCAAACAAACAAGTATTCTCACTATGACTAAAAGTGACTCTTTCCATCGTCTCTTCTGCAACCACTGGAGACATTCTTATCCTTTCCTATCTTGATAGTTTTTCCAGATCAGTGCTTGTAACGTTATAATTGGAAATTTTCCATCTTGACCTTCACCATGCCAGCAAGAAATTCTACCTTCCAGCTACCACAACAGCCTATCCAAATTCTAAACACAATAAAACTCACTCTGCAATGCTTACAACGTATTGCAAACAGCACTCAAGTAGTTCTGATTCTCCTGTAATCCATTCAAACTAATTCATGGCAACCAAAGCATTTACCCTAATAGCATGACAATTGACTAAATAGTTTCTTTTGATTTGTCGAATTTCACCCCAAATGAAAGCATGTAGCAAGGTAAAATTGCATTACTTGTACAACGGACACTCATGACACGCCAAATCAATGAATGCAAATAATCAGTAACTTTACCAGACAGGGGATCATAAAATTCAGTAATATCACTGTCGCAGAAGGGTCTGCGCGGCTTATTTAGAGTAGAGGCGATGAAGGTACAAGTCACCGCCACAGCAGCTGCAATGGAAACCACCACGATCAAACGAGTGAAGTCTGCCTGCGAGGACGGCAGCGAATCTAGGAGCGGTTCCACTGGAAACAATGCAGAGGAGGAAGACGAATGCTCACGCCTTCTCCTCCTCCGACCTTCGGACGCCATCGGAAATCTCCCGAAGGACGATTGCCCTATTTGACGCTATTTAATCCTTACTATATATAAAATTAAATAAACAATGAAAAATGTATATATATCTTGGTCGATAGTTAACTGTGACTTGGTTTTTAATCGTAAATAAATAATTTTTATTTATCTGTTTTATATAAAATTTTACTATTATTTATTATATGATATTTATATTATATATTATATATATATTACTTTTTAAATATTTTAAGTAAATATTATAAAAAAAAATAATTTATTTTTTAATTTTAATTTTAATAATCATACCTTTCTATATAAGAAATATAATTAAATAATATCATATTTTACTATAGATTAATTAAATACTATTCTCTTTATATTGTTTTATTTAGCTTATGAATAGAATTTTAAATATTATATAATTAATAAATAATTGTAGTAAAAATAATTAAATAATGTAATTAAAATAAAAATATATATATTATATATTATATATTAAAATATATCATTATATTTAAAAAATAAATAAATAAATTATATGAAATAGAGAAAAATATAAATATAAATATAAAACAAATTAAATGAGAATAGAGAGAGTATCATTACTTCAAAAATTATGGGTGTGTTTACCTAAGAGGTTTTAGTTTTTTGTTTTAATTTTGAATAGTAAAATTTTGAATTAAAATAGTTGTTTGATACGATATAAATATGTATTTATTTGATGTTTTAAATGTAAAATTAAATTTTAATGTAATAAAATAAATAAAAATTTAGTGTTTAATTTGATATTTTTTAAGAAAAAAAAAATTTGAAACAGTAAAATCAGCTGACAAGTAAACACATCCCATCTCTTTTAAGTATGATCATATTCACTAACCACTTTCGACAGGAAATATAGTTGCATTTAAACATGTTTGCAGCTATACTCAAACATATTCTGTTGTTGATTTGGTAAAAAATGAGATGGTAATGATGCTACTGTAAATTTGTGATTGTAAGATAATTCATTCAAATTATCATAGGCTTCAAATTTACTATTTATTCAAAATTCAATAGAATCAAAAATATTTTGTAAATATACAAATAAAATTTCATCATTCAAATTATGTTTTCTTTGTTTATGTTATTTTTTATTATTATTTTTGTAATAAAAAAATGATTTTTTATATATTTAATTTTATTAAAATTGTATTTGAACATTTGAGTAGACAAAAGAATGGTATAATATTATAACTTTAACTTAATTATTTATCTATTTAATTGTGCGAGTATCATCAATTTGACGAGAAGTCGTCTCGTCTCCCAAATTTAAGCTGGCCGACGGCAACTCATGTACGCGAAATTGAGGAATATCCATGGCTGATCTCATCGAAGAGGACGAAGGGATGGTTAATATCACTCTGCGGACCATTGGTCCTTCTCCCGCCTCAACCCTCCGGGTCCCTTCTGCGATAAAGGTTTTTAATTTACCCATTTTGCTCATGTTTATTTTCTGTTCATGATGTGAAATTTTTGGCTAATTTGATTCGATTGACTACGTTTTGAATTTTGCGCAGCTCGAGAATGTCAATTATGCACCTTTCTCTACTTGTTTGTTCCTTATTGAAGTTATTACCAAAATGTCGCAATTTTTCGGAATGTAAGCTGTTCGATTAGGGCTTTCCAGCACAAATACGGCTCCTTTGATGATGGTGGTGATTGTGTTTCTAGTTTTAACTGATATTTTGTTGCTTTGTGAAGTAATCTAGATAAGTTTAATGTGGGGAATTCTAGTGTTGTGTTACATTCGAAGCTTAATCAATAGATTTCGTGGAAATTAGTATAGAAATACTGCAATAATAGTGTTTCAGTCTTACGGATGCAGATGCTCTGGCCAATCCTTTGTTTGAATTTTTATTCAGAAACTACAAAAACTGTTGAAAAGTTTTCTCATAACAAAAACCATTCCTGAAAGCTTGCTTGACCCTTGAAATAAAAAAGTTTATTGTGTTGTATCGACTTTATTGGATGGAATTATGTATTATAGTTTTCTTCATATTGAAAATTGGCATGTTGCAGCACATGGCGGTTTAGGGTGTATTGACTTTCCCTATTCTGTTGAACAAAATCAATTATGTATTATCAATGGCTGATGAATGAATGTTTGCATTAGCCCTGGATATGATTTATGAAGTTAGATTTTAGCATATTCTTAATCGCAGCGTTAAAAACTGGATTTCTTCATCTTGGCAAATAGTTCTTCCACCAGTTACAGAATTGTGAAATGTGATATTCAGATTGTTCTTTTCATTGGTGTTGTATCTCATTCAAACTTAGCTTTCAATTGTGTTGCTGTGCACTATCTGATGAATGAAGCACTTTATTTTTTTACTTTCCTTTTGGGCATACTCATGTTCACTCTCTGTTAAATTCCCCTTAAATTAGAAGAACTTTGTTATAGTAAGAACTTATAAGGTGTGCTTTCATTATCATTTGTATTTTTTCCTTTTTTTTTTTAGGTTAGAGAGTTGAGAAAATTGATTGCTGGGACTTCTCACTTGCCTCTTGAGAATACAAGGCTGATTTTCCATGGGAAAGTCTTGAATGATCATGATTTGATAAACGGCAATGATTTATCGGTCCATCTTCACAATAAAGGTATGAAAGTGGCAGGGTTGGTAGACTTAGGCATTTCTTTCTCTTTTCATGATGATGAGTTGCATAAGCTTATATTTGATAATAAATATAATATGCATTAAACAAGTTGATGTTTTCCACAACTATATATCGGTACGATTAAAAGAACCGTGCCCTAAAGCAATAGATCATTCAAATAGATACCTTGTCCTCTGATAAATAACTGAATTCAATCCAGTTGATTGCACTTATATTGTTGTTTCATTTTGGGTTGTGTATTAGAACTTAAATTGAATAATGAATCTGAAGATGATTCGCAGAAGAATGGCTTTAAAACAAAATAGAGTATGGAAGCTTATTACTTGGAAGCTAGCTTTACAGCTTCTACACATTGCTTAATTTTCTGTCCCCTTTTCTTTCCACTGAGGGTTTTTATGAAGAACCACAATTGGGAATGGCTTTAAAGTACCACAACTAATATTTATACCGTGGATAAGAGTAAATATGCCGAAATAATTGCCTATTCTGCCTCAAACTGCTTATTTTTCATTGGCTAAAAGAGATTGTTGGAAATTATCTTTTTTGCATTTACCATTTCCCTGTAAAATTGTAAGATTATGGATGAAGAACTAATGGAAAATATTACTGTATTATATCATACGATATTATTTTAGTTTAGCTTGATGATTTCCTAATTAAACCAAATGCGTATCTGCGTTTATCTGTTACCCTTTTGCTCTATTCCTGCCGAGGCTTTTTCTATATAGGATAATGACCCTATGCTTCTTCTTTAGAAACTGTGATTGTTGCCAGCAAACCAAAGCCACCTGCTAAGCATATTCGGGACAGTTTTGAGGATGATGACGAAGATCTTGTTAGTATCATGCTTCTCTGGAATCACTTTTAATTTTAAGACTCTATCATCTAAATCTCATTCCATGTGTTTTTTCATGTAGAAATTTCAACTTCCCAAATCAGCCAGTCGGTGGAAAAGGAGGCTTTTCTTCATATTACATGATAAATTTAAGCTCCCAGGTGAGTGCAAGCTCTACTTTTAAGTTCTAAAAGAATTTCAATAAAAAATTCTTAGCAATTCTGTTCCATTGTAGATATGCTTTTGATGGTGATTTTCTCCCTCAGTCTAAAGATGTGGGCAGCCATTGTACTGTGGTTTGTTCTGGCACCTTTTGCACATAGATTGGGTGTTGGGCCTCTATATGTGAGTCCTCTTGTTCTTCGCTTGCAAGCAGTCAGGGGTGTGAATATTATATACTTCAGTCAATAAATGTTTCAGTTGTGGAGTTGGGGAATTTTATTTATTTATTTGTTAATTTCTCGTGAATGAGTTCTTGACATAATTCACTTCCATTGACGAGACTTTTCATCTTATACTAAAGTCGGAAACATGTTAAAAATGCTATTTATGATGACACTGATATTTTTCTTACATCCAAAATCTTTATCAAAACCCGCTGCAGAAACTTGTGCTTGTTTTTAGCATATAATTAAGATGTGACTAGAATGCATATTGTGATATATATATATAAAATTTTTCCATGGACAAGGGTATGCAATGCCTCTACCGTTATTATTTAAATTTGGCATGACTTGTCTTGAATTCTCTAATTTGCTCAATCGTACGGTTGCATTTCAGATTCTTGGAACCGGCTTTCTTATAATTTTCTACAACCTTGGGCATCGGCAACCTGGTGATTTGAGGTATGTGCATTTTGTGCTGTGGTGCTTAACCAAGAATGTTGTTTCTGCAAAGCCTCCATTGGCACCCAAAGATATTGGCAGTCATATTGAAGTCTTTTTGTTTATTTGTTAAATGTCTGTAAAACTCGTATCTTTATATACATTCAGCATCCTTTTTAAACTTTACTTTTACAATGTGTGCAGTGCATACTCAATATTCAATGAAGATTTCAGAGAACTTCCCGGAACTCTCAATGCAGACCATATCGACAGGGATATAAGACACGGAAGGTTTTGAAGGCAACGTGTGCACCTACATCCCATGTTCACCTGAATATCCAAATCAGAGTTTCCAGAAAACATCGACGCAATCACCTTTCCACAAAAAAGTTCTTGCTTTTTCACATGGTGGGGACCGAAACATGAAATCATGCACCTCTAGGAAACATATCCTTGTTGAGTGTTCAAGTCATTTTGGATGAGAAATGTAGATTGTGGTTCTAACTCAAAACACATGTGTATATTCACCATGGATGGTTTGCACATATTGATGACATAGATTTCTCAATTAAGTGTCTCCAATTAAAAAATAGACTTTTGGAAGTTTGTGGGGTTTTGTAAAATTTAGAAAATAATAAAAAGTTAATGTTTGATGTCATGTTTGTAAGAAAAAAAATACAATTAGATATGATTTTTTTACAAAGTAGTTTGTTTTGTGTTTTGATATTTTTGTATGTGAAGAAGTATGAGAATTTGTGCAGTAAATAAAAAAAATTGTAATATATTAAATTTTTGAGAAAAATTGTTGAAAGTTTTTGTTAAAAGAACATAGTATTTTCTAGATTTTAAAATATGTATTTTTACCTATAACAACCTTACTTCATAGTTATTTCTATAAAAAAAACATACGAGCAAGTATATAATGGATTGGTATGTATTTTACTTCTCTTTTGGGCCTATTTATCTGGGTATTTTTGTTAAAAAAATAATAACAGTAATTTTTTAATGTAAAATTAAAAATTACAGAGGTATATGTGATGTAATGATAGCAACAAAATTATTAGTATGGCTAATATTGAAATAAATAGAAAAAATAGCTGTCATTTATGATATAGACACAAATTTTTGAGACAAAATTAAACTGAAAATAAACACAAATTTAGGAAAATTATGTCAATGAAAGTTAAATAATTATCCAAAACACTGTATAAAATTTTCTATTTAACAATACCAAAAAAGACATTCAAAAGTACTTTAAATGCACACACTAAATTAATGCTGGTTAAATACTTGCAAGACATTCAAACGTGCTTTAAAGACCACCCATATTTAATAGAAAATTTCTGAAATGTATAAAAATGTTTCTCTTCTTTCGAAGGGTCAGCCCAAAATGCAAAAATGATTCTATTCCAAATTTAAAATAATTATTCGTTCTAAAAAAAATAAGTAAGTGATGAGTAAGCGAAGAAGTTAGTGAAGCTAAGCGACAGACAACAAAAAAATAAAAAATAAAATTATATATAAAACCCTAATTCTAAACCAAAACCCAAGGAGGCAGGAAGGAGTGTTTAGCGGTGTCCCAAAAAAATTTCCCCCTTTCTACATTTGGGAATTGAGGTTTCACACATTAGCCTGCTGAGTAGAGCAGGAGAAGGAGACGATACCAATTCGATCTCCTTCAATGGATTCTCAAGATTCCTCCCATTTCCCGCACCACCACCCGCACCACCACCACCACCACCATCACCACCAACACCACCACCTCTCCCAGCCGCCGGCGCATCCCGGAGTCCTACTGGGACCACAGCAGCATCTGCAAAACAACTCCTACCAACTCCCCAACACCAACAATTCCGTGCACTCATCCACTTCTGCCCCCGCAAACCCCTCCCTGATGCACCAGCAAAACCCTCGCTTCCCTTTCAACTCCATGGCCGCAGCTGCAGCTGCGGCGGCCGCCGCCGCCGCCGCCCCCAAGCCGTTAGATCATGTTCAGGCCGACGGTTCGCCTCCCGGGGGAGGCGCCGGCGGGTTCAGCGTCGAGCCGGCTAGGAAAAGGAGGGGTCGGCCGAGAAAGTACTCCCCCGACAACAGCATTGGCTTGGGTCTCTCCCCTGCCCCCGTTGCTCAGATGTCCTCCGCCATGGTCCACAACGACTCCGGCGGCGGCGGCGGCGGAACTCCTTCCTCCGATACCCCCGCCAAGAGAAACCGCGGCCGGCCTCCTGGCTCAGTGAAAAGACAGCTGGATGCTCTAGGTTCAGTGGCTATTGCATTGGTGGTTTCTTTTTTAGGGTTGGATTTCTTAAGAGTGGTTTTGAAATTGTTCCTCTTTTGGGCAGGTGCAGCGGGTGTGGGCTTCACTCCTCATGTAATTATGGTGAATTCTGGAGAGGTGGGTCAGATGATAATTGACTGGATATGTTGTGTGGAAGCCTGAGAAGTAGAAATGAAAGAATTAACTACGTCTTGCTTGAATATTCTTTGTTTATCTATGGATTACTGCGATTGTGTTTTGACAGGAAATGGAGAGGCTTTAGGGTTTGTGGTTTTCGTATTCTATTTCGTCGTACTTAATTTGGAGTTGGTGTATGATTATGCATGTCTGTAGTTACTCTCAAAGCACGTTGCTTGTTACAGTGGACTTTTTGTATATATAGACTCGGTGTTGATTAATTTTAAGCTGAATCGATTAGAATTCTCATGAATTAGCTCTCTTAAAAGTGGAAAGGGCTTTTGTAGTTCTTGAGGAATTTCTGTGTCGAGATCTTTAACTCAGAAAGTATTGAATTTTATGCATTTTTGGAACCATAAGAAGCATTAGCTGTGAATAAGATTTGTTACTAATTCGGATGTGTCCTAAGTTAATGCTTCCATTATTGACTTCCCTGTTGAGATATTATTATGAAACTGGAACTGAGATGATCACGGTTATTAAGTATGATGATGCTTCAAAAAGCGAACTTGTCGATATTTTGTCTTATTTGCCTTATCTGCTGATGGGTTGTTCGGTTCGATCTCACTTCCGAGATCTGAATGCTGTCTACTATATAATATGTTATCAGAATCAGATTTTGATGTGTCCAGATTTAAATGAATTTTAGTTTATCTGATTTATATTAATTGTGTCTGCATAAAGCGCCCTAAGGTAATATTTTCTGCGATATAATAGAAATCTAGAAAAAATCCAAACATGTTAGTTGTGAGGGTATGCCAAATGTCACACACACGTGCATCAAACGACACGTGTTAGTGGCTTTTAGTTATTATCTTGATTATACTGATCCAATATTAATGCATATTAATCCTAACCTATATTAAGGATCTGGTGCGATACAGTTAACTTTTTTATTGCCGAATTGAATGCTTTTTCTTGTCTTTTTCTTTTTTCCATGTGCACACATTTGGCTGGCTGCATTTATAATGTGTATATTGTGTCACTGCAGAAACAAACCTTCTCTGATTTTTTATATTGGAGAAGAGAATAATTTGCAAGCATAGTGATTTACAGAAATTATTTTATACTCGAACGAGTTTGTTTGAATTTTCATACATGTTTGGAGTGCCATCATAAAGACCTGATTTATTCATGCATTTTCTTATATTCTTAGAATGATATCGTGCATTTCTTACTTATGCAAAGGGGTTACATAAAGATCTTATTTGTCTGTTCCCTGATGTCTTTCAGGATATAGCTTCGAAAATTATGGCCTTTTCTCAGCAAGGACCTCGAACGGTTTGTGTTCTGTCTGCTAATGGTGCCGTATGTAATGTCACCCTTCGCCAACCTGCAATGTCTGGTGGGACAGTGACATATGAGGTGTGTAATCCTTAGCTTAACCTTCTTACCTTTTTGGTTTCAGAATGTGCTATGGTTAGATCTTGTAATAATACTAGAATTTTGTGCATGAAATTTGTGTTATATCTGCCTGTATTTGGCTAAGAAACATCCAGCCCTTAGCGATTTTAAGTTAGATGACATTGCATTTTTAAATCTTTTGCTTTGTGCTTCAGATGCAAGGATTTACAATAAATAAATAACTACAAATGATTATCTTCTGGTTTCTAAACTTCAACATTTTAAAATCTTGTTTCAGTCATGAAGATAGACAGCCGAAAAAGTTCATGCAATGTACTTTTGTTGTCTGTAGATCCCAACCCTCTCTGCTGTTTGGCATCATGACCGTAGTTTAAGGGAAACTAAATCATTTCGATAACTTGAAGAATATGATTAATGGATATTATCGTGTTGGTTTATAAATTCTCTTGTAAACACAAAACACATAAGGCCTGAAAAGTAAATTACTAATGTTTTGGGTTTCATATATATAATTTTCAAGAGGTTTAATTATCTTTTAGTAAATTTATGTCTATGCTATAATTATTCTGATTAAATTCTACATTTAAAATCCTCTAGACCATAGACTCTGTGCCACTTGGCAAATATCTGGAATGGTTTCTTTCTGTTGAAAATCTTGTTCGGTAGCCTTGGTCTCAGATAGTTATATGATATCCTATAGATTTCCTTGAAGCTGAAAAGTAAAATGCTTGTAATTAATTCTCAATATCAGTTGGATGAATAACGAAATTCTGCTGCATGTAATAGTCTGACTGGAGAGATGTTGACTGATGTGGTTTAATTGTCTTGTATCAAGCCTGAGTTTTCATTAGGAAATTTTAACAAGCCTCAACTAGGTTCTTGTGTAGACTCTTGTCGAGGATGCCTTATCTTGTAGGCATTCCTTCTGAAGAAAATCTAGGAATAGAGATGTATCATGATGGTAATGCTGTGTCATCCTTGTTTTCACTAGAGCAATATGTTTCGAAAAGATGCCAGACATGTTCAGAATTTTACTTGAGAAATCAATGCAGTGTTCTTCAGCATGATTAGTATCCCTATTATTTTAGAACTCACATGATTAATATTATCGACTTTGTTCGTGTACTAATTTTTTTTATTTTGGGTTATCAGTGAATGATATCTGGTGTTTGTATTATAGTTCAGTGAGTGGTGAGATCGTGAGAGATGCCACTATGAATTCACAGTCCATGAGGTTCTCTTTAACTTCTTCTTCTTGTTCTTGTTCTTGTTCTTTCTTCTTTTTTTAAATATTAATGATAGATGTCTTAGTTAATTATAATTTCTTTTTAGTATAGTTATTCAGTGTGCAAATAAAAATCACTCAATTCTCATCCTTAAATTACCAATTCATTCCTTCTTTGAGTCAGTTTCAAATTCTATGAGAAGCTGTAGCTATAGAGAATAGCGGAGCCTATGAGGTTCCTGGGTTTGGTGACTTGCACTTAGCCCCAATGATCAACTCATTTAGAGATAGATAGGGAAGATGATGCTCACGATGGTCTTTGTAACTGCTGAAGGCCACTGAAGATTTTGCACTACATTTCGAGATTGTTTTGCTTACATGAATGGGTGGTTTGGAACAAAGGGTAATGCACATGTGATTCAACAGTTTCTGGTGAAATATGAGTAGCCATCACTAGGGGCCATAGGGCATGAAATAAAATATGTGCTGAATTGAGCAAGAAGAGATGCTAGCTTTGGCTGCGCCAACCTGGAAAAGGTGCCTAGATAGATTGCTTTGTACTAAGAGAGTTGTTCAAGCAGTAAGAGTATTGCAGAACTTCGTTGCATTTCACGAAACATGGTCAAGTAACTTTCCAAGTTTTTTTTTTTTTTTTAAATTCCAAATAAACTGCATAGCTATTAGATTTAAGGAGTAGAAATGAAGTCCAGTTGACATACTAACAATTATAACACTATCGATGTTTGAGTTGTGTGTGTAATGTATAATCTCCTTGCCTGCTAAATATTTATGTTTGGAAAGATATTCATATTGATATCCTTCCCTTTGGCGACTCTACTTGATTTCATTGTCATACTTTCGTTTAGTATTTTCTGCTTCTGTAAGTTAATACTCCCACTGATCTACAGGGACGATTTGAGATTATATCATTATCAGGTTCCTTCCAGCTTTCAGAAAGTAACGAAAACCGCAGCCGAAATGGTGGACTGAGCGTATCATTGGCCGGATCAGATGGTAGAGTGTTGGGCGGTGGAGTCGCAGGATTGCTCAAGGCAGCATCACCAGTTCAAGTACTTAATTCATCCTATGATATGTGTTCGTATATATATATATATATATTATCCACTTAATTATTTAACGCATTTCTTTACTAGGTTGTAGTCGGCAGCTTCATTGCTGATGGTAAAAAACCAAAGGCTCGGCCATCTTCTTCGACACCCACACATATGTTAACATTTGCGGGCGGTCAGGGCACCGGGCAAAGTCCTTCCCCAGGTGCTTCCAGCGATTCGGGTGAGGAAAATGACGATAGCCCTATGAACCGTGGTGGGTCAGGACCCTTTGGCAATGCTGGTCAGCCCATCCAAAACATGTCTTCAATGTATTCATCTATGGGTTGGCCAAACAACATCAAAATGCTTCCGGATTAGAGGGTGACACCCCGACCCATGTCCATGTATCGACACCACATATGTTTGTCTATTGGTATCTTCTTATTCTTCTTCTTTGGTTAGTAGCTGGCTGCATATGATGCTAACATCAGATGGTAGGATTCGCGCATTTTCAACCCTATTTAGGGATTTTATCTAGCTGTTGTCGTTTAGGTATGAGTAGATCGATCCTCCTGTTGTCGTGAGCAAGATTCATCGGGGTAACAAAAATTCACAACAGTTTGCAGGGCACCCTACCCTTCTGTGTTGTTGATCAACAATTCTCTGTTTATTTTTATTGCTTCTGTCAAAATTTTCTACCTTTCTTATCTCTCTGTGGCTCTTACACGAGATAAATGGGATGTCCATTTTTTGTCAACCAGTCATGAATACATTAGTTTGACGTATACCAAGGTTAATCCACAGGTAATATTCCAAGGTTAATACATTAGTATTTAACCGCGTTGACGCTAACTAGTCTTCTGTTTGGAATGATGAGAGACTTCTTACAAAGACCACCGAATGAAGGAATATGGAATAAATTTGAATTTGAATTTGAATTTGGTGGCACTATCAATGTCATCATCTAAAGTTGAAGGAAAAATCCAGGTTTGCAATTTATGTTGACTAATTCAAAATAGTGTATTTTATCCTAAATTGGAGTGTATCTTAAAAATAGAACCAGGTCTGTAATTTAAATTTTTAAAAAATAAAATAAAAGGAGTTTGTATTTAAGGCAAGAATGGAATCCATGATATGATGAGATCACATACAACAAGAGGATAGGCGTAGGTGAGAAATACATAAAGTTCCATCCACATAACAATATTACACCACAAGACTATATGCAATTTGGAGATTCTTAAACTCAGTTAACAACAAAACTACAGAGCTACAACTATTGCCTTTCGCATCATGACCTATCCATCTAAAGAAAAAATAAAATAAAAGCTTATAATCATGAGACAAGCAAGCTACAGTTATTAATTATTACAACATCATATATATATATATTAAGATAAGACTGGATGTATCAACAAACAAAACAATGATAAAAGAACCATGGACTTCAGATTTCCAGGGCAGATCTTCCACCCTGGTCTTCCCAATACATTTCCTAAGTCAGCAGCTTGCACTTGAAAACTAATGATCCCTCCACCTTGGGCTCGATATGGGGAAGATCCCCGGCGACAACGGGAATCCATAGCCAGGGGAAGGAGGCGGGGGAGGCCCCGGGCCTAAAATCCCTGACTGGCCGATGGGGGAGAAAGAGAAACCAGGAGAAATCGGGGGTGGAAGATGCTGGTAAGCTCCTGGAGACATAAACGGATGGGGGGATCGAGGGCTAAGCATATTAAAGAAGCCAGACGGGGAAGGTAGAAGGAACTGAGAAGTAGGGGATGGTAAAAGGGGGGGAGGTCCAGTCATTCTTGGCGACGGGAGACCGGGTGGGGGGCCTTTTACATTGGGAGATGCCAAAAGGGGAGGGGGGCCGTTCATCCGAGGAGATGGAAGAGGCCCCATACCTCTCTGGGATGCAGCCTGTGCCATAACCGGATTCGGATGGTATTGGGGATGAGGGAGGCTCTGGCCAGGAACCTGAGGCTGCGACGAATTCTGCTGGGGAGCAGAATCAAGAATCGAGGTTTGAAGGTATCTCATGTAGGCAGAAATAGGCGACTCGGTGGTATTTGTCCAGACATCAGGGGGGGTTGGCGGCAGCATTAGGGCTGGCGAAAGTTGATCGTATTGGGAAGGAGGTGGAGGTCTCATGAAGGTGTTTGGATAAGGTGCCGGAACTTGCGGAGCCATGGCATTGGGTGGTTGAGGACGGACTGGAGGGACCTGTGGTCTACTAGGAGCTAAAGGGGGCGGCCGGACTCTCATCAGCCTATTATTGGGTGGTTTTCTATTGTTTTGGGGAGGCCTAGGCGGCGGCTCCCGGGCTGGTGATCCGGTCAGCTGCTGGACAATGTTCCGAAAATCGTTCTTGTTGATGTTGTAGACTTGGGGCTGCGGCTGCTGCGGCTGCTTATTGCCGCTGTTTCCGAAATTAGGCTGGTGTATGGGACTCTTCTTAATGTTCTTCCCCATCTTGTTCACACCAAGATGATCCATCTGCTGCCTATTCATGGATTGCTGGTTTGAACTATCCATTTTCGTTTCCTACAGAAACTAACTCTTTACTCCAATGGCGGAATACCTCTCTACCTTCTCCAACAACAAAATTAAGCAAAGAGATCGCACCACAAATTCATCGCATCGCACAGAACAACTACAATCAGAAACCGAAATCCATCAGTAATTTTCTTATTAACCTAATCGCACGAAACAACGCACAAATCATCAAAACCTACCGATCCTCAGTCCAATACACCAAATCCTAAGCCTAAACTATTCTCCCCCAAATTCGATTGAAGAAACCGAAACTAACAAACATAGAATAAAATTTCGAAAATAAGAATCCGAATTTACCGACGAATCAATAGATTGAAGGCTCCAGACCGCGCTGATTCACGCGTCCTCCTCCGAATCACAAAAACCTAGCGCGCCGTAGCGTCAATCGGCGGTTTGGGAAAGCGGATCCAGGAGCAGCAAAACCCTACGCAAAAATTTCGTTAGTGGGAGAAAAATTGACTGGCGGATCGATGAGTGCCTTTGAAATACTTTCAGCCGTGTTGACGTTATGCCTTATTTATTTTTTTAAAAATTATAATTATTCTTTATTATTACAAGTAATGACGTCCGTAATTTGAGTTTATTATTAATTAAAATTAGAATGATAAGTACTCTAATATTTTTCTAATTAACGAGACACTCGCGCCAACGATATAACTAATTCATTTCACAATGAATATTGTCAATAAGTCAAATATCAACAAACTTCAAATTTATATACATATTTTAGTCTCTTCTTGTTTACATATTTAGCATTTCTTTTTGGTCAAAAAAACAATTCTAATACGTACCTTTGAAAAGTTCCATTCTTTTATAAAAATATAACTTCTAAAAACCAACATATATATATTTACAAACTATCTATCAAAACGAGCAATTCTTTTTAAGAGGGAGTGAAGTATCGACGATCCTCGAAGCTCCAATCGCGGCGCATCCCGCCGCTCCTGACGAGTCTCGGGGCGGGCGGGTCGTGGGCAACCGGGTCGATCTTGGAGAGTCGACACGGGTCCATATTGCCGGAGCAGGTTCGTTTCACGTTCATACTTCGAGAGAAGAATCGGAAATTGACGAGATGATGGGTCTTGCTGCTGCGGTGACGGTGGTGGAAAGATGCGATTCTTCTTGTTGGCGGATTACGACCTTGATCGTGATTTTTTTCGGGGTGGTTTTGATCCACCCTGAGGCATTTCATAAGGCTCATATGGCCTTGGGGAAGAGAAACAATGCAGCAGATGCAGACAACCTTTGGACGTGTTATAAATTGGTAGTTACTATTTTAAGTAATTGCCATTTCTTGCGCCCTTAAAAGTCGCATTTTCTATTTCGAGCGTTCAAAGGTAATGTCGCAAACTTAGCTTCGCCGTTGATCTATGTGGTAGAGTACGTGCGTTTGTGTTTTTTTGTTGTCATAATTATTATGTTTTCAGAAAAAAAAAAAAAAAGGAATTTTTCACTTAATATATATTTTTTATGTAAAATATATGAAACTATATAAATATATAAAAATAATAAATAAGTATAACATATTAATTTTTAAAAATATATATATATATAAAATATAAAGAGAACGCACTTAAATGAATACAGAGATAACATTAGTTGGTTCACCAAATTTAGATTTAGTTTTCATATACTTCTATATAAATTTTTATATTTATAATAATAATAATTTTATATCTAGTTAAAACTCATTTTTTAATGAAATTTTCAAAAAAAAAAATACTTCATATAAATTTTAAATGTTTATTAAAAATATAAGTATAATTTCATGGATTAAGGAATGTATTTTAAATATATATTTTATTTAAATAAAAAGTTTTACTTTTATATGGACTATGGTATATGATGTGGGCTTTCTGGGAGAGGGATTTTACAAATGGGCTTCTCTTTGGGCTTTGGTAAAGGATCGGATTTTCTTTGGAGGATACCTATTGAGCCTTAGCGTTGCTGTTAGGCTTAACATTTGTTTTCAATTTTTTATTTATTTGTTTTTTTAAGTATTTTTGTGATTGCTTGTGGTAAAAGGATTTAAATTTTTAATAAAAAAACATAATATTGAAATTAATATTTATAATAATAATGTACATTTTTTTTTGATTAAAAAAAAATACAAAAATACAAGCAAAAAAAAAAATAGTCTATTTTTACAGAAAATTATAAAAATTGAATAATATAAAACTTAAATATTGTTAAAACAAACAAACAAAAAAAAAGAACAAAAAACAAATCCATGGTCTATTTTAGTTGTTTTTTATAAACAAATATATATTATAATATTAGATATATTGTAGTATCGATTTGATTTGTTTTAGGACGAAAAAAGTGGCCGGTGATGTGTATATGAAAAATAAAACCATTGCCATTAAAACGATGCGTTTTGATCCATTTCTATTACCCACGTGGAGAAATTTCAATGTCTCAATAATGCGAGGCCATATGTATTGTCATTGTCATTTTCATTTTTATTTATATATATATATATATATTTTTTTTTTTTTTTGTGGTTTGCATTGGCCACTTCCAATCGATTTTTCATCTTATTTTTCAATGCATTATTTATTAATATTTATATATTTCATTTCAGATATTTTGTATATCATGGTTTGATTTCAATAAAAGGATAGTGGGACAATCCGTTATTTTTTTATGATTATTTTATTTTATCCATGTGGTATATAATTAAAGTTTAGTTATAATTCAGTAGGGATAGTCTGGTGGCATAGGATTGGATTTGTGGTCATAAGGTCATGGGTCACCTACGTAGTGTGTCTGCACTTTCGGGTTTCCACGTCATTAAAAAAAAAAAAGTTAGTTGCATTTCAATTTTTTTTAATTACTCTTGATCATTTGAAATAATTCCATTTTTTTTTTTTTTTATAATTTTACCCTTTATTATTCTTATTTTTCTTATTAATTTATAAAATATTATTAGAAATATGTATGAGAGATGAAGTGAGTTAAAATGGTGTGTTGTTTTTTATTTTAGATGTTTTGATTTTTTGAGAGGAAATAAAATCAATTATTGTAGACTTTAATTTAAATAATAAACTACAAATTAATTATGGAAATGTAAACACGTGTGTGTTTATTCAATATGGGTCGCGTTCGCATTAAACGAGAGGATATGTACAAGTACCTTTGTGATGCGTAAAATTTTACTTCTTTCGTTAAGTAAGAATGTATTCATTTGAAGTTTTATTATAAAAATTAATAAATAATACTTATTTCGTCTCAATACAATAAGAATATTTAGGATAGACCGAGAATTAAGGTTATAATAGTATTACATCGATATTTGACGTAAAAGTGTTTTTAAAAGAGTAAATTTTTTATACTTCATATAATTATTGTGAAAAAATTGAAATAATTTTATAAAAATATGAGAAATTGATTATTAAAAATTAAAATGAGGCTATTATTTTGAGATGGAAGAAAATACCAAAATATGATTATTATACAAATAATTATAAATTAAAATAATTAATTAATAATTTTAATTTATAAAATTTAAAATGTGATTAATATGTATAAATTTTTTTAAAAAAGTAATATTTTATTGAGACTGACAGAAATGAAGTATTATTGGTTAGTGAAAGTGATGATTTTAATATTTTTTTCTCTTTATATTTTTTTATATTAGTAATAATATATTTATAATTTATGTCAAAATAAATATATATGTATATATATATTAGCTTGTAGTTTTTTTTTACCATAATAAAAAATTAATACTTTTGACAATAACAAAAGTTCTAATATTTATGAGATTTTTTTTTTTTTTTTATCATAGGAGAGTTAAATAAAAAATAAATAGACAATACATAATTTATATTAATATATTCCAAATATAGTACATGAAATAAAAATTATAATAATAATTCATATAACATATGTCACGATTAATCTCGATAAATATTATGTACTCCCTCCGTCCCACATAATTTGTTTTTATTTTTTATTTTCGTACGTCTTACATAATTTTTTTTTTTTTTAAGAAATATGACTATACATCTAATCACATATTAAAGTTTATATTTTATAATTTTTATTTTTAATTAAACTATTTAGTTGTCTAATAGTTATTTTTTACTATTTTTTATTTATCCAATCACCTTTCTATCACTTTTTTATATAAAGTTTTCATAATATCTTTAATTTTCTTTTTATTCACATATATAAATTTTAAATATTATTATTTTTTAATTTCTATATCCAAACAAAAAATATAAGTTTAATGTGCATTGGAAAAACCCGTCCCAGCCCAACTTAATATGTTGTAACTCCCACACAATCAGGTCATCCCTTACAGAACACATGAAATATATTATTAACTGCATATGTATTCGTCATTGCAATATATTGAAAGGTGATGCTAAGTAGCTCAATTAGCTTATTATTTGTATTTTTTTTTAACTAAATTGCACAAAATTCATCTGTGATTTCACGAAATTACGTCAAAATCTCCCCTACTTTTAAAATTGTGTCAAACTATCTTATGGTTTCATAAATTATACGTCTAACCTATCGGCGATCCTTATTTAACAGTATTTAATCTAAATGCGCCCAAACTGTGAATAAATTTTATAATATAAATTTCTAAACCTCTAAAATTAGAAATATATTAATTTTTTTTATATTTACACTAAAAAAACAGTAAAAATAAACTTTTAAAACCTGAGAAAAATAACTATTGTTTAGTATATTTACTATTTTTTAATTAAATATAAGAAAATTGAATATATTTATAATTTCAGGGATTTGGAAATTGAGATTCTAAAATTTATTCGCAATTTGGGCGCATTTAGGTCAAAATACAGTTAAATAAGGACCGCCGAGTGGGTTAGACGCAAAGTTTATGAAATAACGGAAGAGTTTTACGCAGTTTCAGAAGTATAGGAGATTTAACGCAATTTCATAAAATCACATATAAATTTTGTGCAATTTAATTTAATTTAATTTTTTTAAAATTTATTCATTTATTAATATAAAAAACTACTCCATTAAATATAATTTGTTTTCAGAAAAATTTATAAATAAATATGAACAATTTTCTTAATACAATTAATTAATTATATTACATAGATAACAAAATTTGTTTGTCCAATAATGTATGCAGTGATATGTGCATGTCTGTCCAAAATAGGTATGTCGTGTTAGAGGAGCACGTTTTAATTTTTCCATCGCAGTTCGCAGAATTTGTTCCCAGTAATAATTGCGGCTGCTGCGTGCCATGTAGACAGAGGATTCCAGATTCATCGCATTTATTACGAATGGACGGAGCGGACCATTTACGACGTCGTAAAGGCTCTTCCAGTTCAGCAAATCTCACTCGACTCATCATATGTAATAAAAGTGATTTATTAACCGTTAGTTTTCTCACTCAAAACAATAGAAATATTTGGGATAACTATAAAAATTTAAAAATAATATTATTATATTAATAATAAGTGTAAAATTATTTTTAAAAGATTAAAATACTCTTATTTTATTTA